TTGGGGAAAATTTTGCACTCATGAGTTCTTTCCTTGAGGTAATGATGTCACCTTATGTGGCTAAAATTCTAAATTCTTTTATTCCCGATGTGAGCAACGCATACTTGTTTAGGTGTCATCACGAATTAACCTTAACCTCGCTTGCCGGTCAACCCAAAATAATTTTATAAAAAATGCCGCAGTAACATCGTCGCACGTGTCTGAGTGTTTCATTAATAAAAGGGGTTTTTTGAATTATTTTCGTTTTGCGATGCGATCTCACAATCTCAACTAGTGTACCCAACTCTTCAAGCCACGGCAGGTCATTAAACTCAGTCTCAACCTTTAAACAACGTTGTTGACTGTTCAGCTTGCAGTATTCGTCAAAGCCTCTTCTTTTCATTCCCTGTGTCGATGATGTGGCTTTGAGGATGAAACTTAGTCCATGGACATGTGTGTGACAGATGGAAGCACTTTTGATGATGGATAAGCTTGATGGACAATGATTGGCGGACGATAACGCCTCAGCGCAAAAGCCGCTGATCAGAAGAAATTCAGTTGAAGGTTGTTACATACCTGCGAAGATCAGGTCTAAACTCTATACCTTGGAAGAATGTGCGACCGACTCATCGATTTAACTAGGAATTAAAGAAGAAATTGAATGGAGGTCCAAAAGTGTAAGTGAAAGGGAGGCCACGGCACAAATACTCAGGACTCATCATCTCAATGAGGTCATTAACGAAAAAATTGAAAAGCAGAAGCTACTCATTTTCAGGTGGTCTTAGTGAAAATCAACACCTAAGAATTCGACAAAATTTCTGCGTCCTACTACAATGTCATTAGCGAAAAGAATTTCGCCTCAACTATCGGTGCACAATGGATTTGTGTTTAAACTCTACTTAATAAGCAGAAGCAAATCATTTAAAAACCAATTTAATGAGTTAACGATCCCATTTTGCTAATTCGTGGTGCCGTCTTGGAGACTGACACTTATTTGGGTGCGTAAACATTACAGTTAAATGGTTTAACTTCCAGATTTTGCTACCGGACACAGCGCTTGTTCTAACTACCAAACGTTTTTGCAAGCACAGAAAAACTCAAAGAACACCAGTGGAGGGTGTCGTAGAAGGCATAAAGAACCCGACAATACTCTACCAAGTTTAATAACTTATATTAAAATAAGGTACTTCCAAAGTGCGCACAACAAATTTAATGGCAATGACAATCACTCCATGGAATCTGCTTTGGATATTTCATAAACAGCAAAATAAAGTCACGTGACCTATAACCCTAAAGAGACTGATGAGTCTCAATAGTTTGGTTTCCGAAGCCAAAGCATCCTACTTAAAGGGTAATGCAGCATATTGGTGAGACGTATAAAAAATGACACACTGCTAATTGAGTTTTATCACCGCACTGGGACGATGAAAATTTATCCTTGCTAATGATTTAAAGTAATGGCTGGGCATTTGAGCAACGTGAGGATTAGCGGAAATGCAAGAATAAACGAAAAATAATTAAGAAGTAGGCTTTAGCTTGTGACAAACAAATGACTAGAAATAATTCGAAACACTCAGGTGACAAATAGTCGTTTGTTACTCAAAAGTAATATTTTTACATAAAACGCTACTTTACCTGCTGAGGTAATATCTGAAAATACGACCCCTTTCATGTCATGGTCAGTGTCTTAAACACGGAAGTGAGAGAAAAAATTTGTAAGCTATTCGAACGATACCCTACGATAAAACAGCACGTGCTGACATCGACCGTGACCTGTCTCCACGTGATTCCTTTCTTAAACCTAAAAATCACATTCGCCTACAAAGTACCTTTCAGTGTTTGTGAGAGCGACTGCGTTTGAAAGTGGGAGGGTGAAGGCTAGACATGCGCACCTTCCAGACGGAGATGAACAATAATTCCCAAGAGGAGGTACCCACACCACTTGATCTCACGGTCAATTCCTCCACCATCGCCACCACTGACATTACCGTAGCCACTTCGCCCGCCAAAGCACAAAATTCACAGTTAAATGACCTCAACCATGTGATTCAATCCATCCGTGAAGTGATTTCCTGCTGCGCCTGTTTCAATTCTGACTTTGGCATGAAGGAATGCGCAAATGGTCATCTCCTCTGCCACACATGTTTCCTCACCTTACGACAGGATGATCATCCACAATGCCCCACCTGTAGAGCCGTCCTCTATCCCGACAGCAGACGTGCTCTAACCGCGCAAAAGGTTCTTTCCGAGCTCCCTGATGTCTGCTTAGAATGCGGACAGATGATGCTGCATAAAGATCTCGTCGGTCATAAGCTCAACGCCTGTCCCAAGCGTCGTGTCTCCTGCGGTCTTGCACCCCTTGGGTGTACGTGGTGCGGTAGTGCAGAGGAATACCACGGTCATTACGAGGACTGTGAAGTACGTCGGTGTCTTCAAGAACGACCTTTGGAAGAGAGTCTCTCTAACGTACTTGCACGATTTAGACGAAGGGAGCAGATGGTGCGAGAGATGTTTACTTGCTTTTCGGCCGTTTTTAGACACCTGGAGGGCTTCGAACTCCAGTCGGTATGCGTCCCACTCTCACTAGCACGAGTCACTCCAGGCCGACTAGTCTTCAAAAGCGATCAATTCCACGGAAGTCAGTCTCGTTGGACACTGAAATTGATGGTACGATTTGATGATGATGGTGCTGAAGAAATCGCTAACCCTGTAGCTTCTAATGTTGGTGACTCCATCGCTCCAAATGCCTCGGAAGTGCAGGAAGTTGTCGAAACGGGCGTAGAGACTGCAGAACAGGCGAATGGTTCACATAATTCAACTGAGAATTCCTCATCTTCACAAAACGAAGAAACGAATTCTTCGCACCATCCACGAAGGATATTCCGTTTTACGGGAACACAGCGCACACGACCATATCCAGATTGGCGACAAACAAGGAACGGGAGCAACAATAATAACAACCCTAATGGAGGAGGTGGATCGGAGAATGGATATACCCAGTCGGATCAGTCCCAATTTGGAGAACTAAGTTTCACCATAACGAAGGAAAATAGTCCAGGGATAGGAAGGAAGAACTATGCCTTCATCCCACTGCAAATTGAGTCGGCAGAAACCGGAGCTCAAGTGAGTGTTCGACCAATGATTTCTATGTACCGGTTTGCGTCAAGGGGAGAGAGAACTGGAGCGTTTGGTTTGTATCCCATGCGGTGGCGGTACCTGACAAATCTGCGAGAACTCAAGGCCTGTCGTCTGGTCAACATGGAGATGGTGATTGCAAGAAAACTAGTAGATGAGCAAGCGGAGCAGGCATAGTGCGGGTTGGGGTTATCATCAACATCATCACTACCGTCGTTATTGTGGGCGATGCTAATAATAGGCATACACCGAAGTTGTGTTCGGGTTTCAGTTTCAGAGATGGTTGGATTGAGGAAACCACCCTCTGTGCACTTATCTCTGTGTGTATGTGCATTTGTTCGTCCTTTTCAAATTAAATAAAAAACTACCGCTGATAACCGCGCTGTCCCAAGCGGAATGCAACAAATCGCATTTATTTCGCCTCGATTTAATTGAAACATCACCACAGAAAAAAAGGCTCATTTAAAATTGAATTTTTGCAGCTGGGACAATTGAAGTTTAACAATAAAATGCAAAGTTTTAATGATGCACCACTTCTGCATCCAGGATACGTGTTTAACCCTCTTACCAGAACGCGCAGGCTCCACTGGCTTTGTGGCTTCATTTGACGTCCTGATGTCATGATGTTCCGACGTCTAGTTAGCCGCATATGTGTAATGTAACACCTCGAAGGTAAAATAGACTATCCAATTGGCGACGCAATGCTATGCGTCAAGGTGAACTTGCAGCCTTCAGCTGACTGTGGAGGTGCAAATCAGGACCACATCCAATTTTGGCAACCAACCCAAGGTCATTGACAGGCCTTTAGAGCTGAATGATAGCACAAGCACAGCTTTCACCATTCAAACATTCGCACATTGTTAGTTAAGTTTCCGCTTGCTGACCAAAACAAAGTATAGCGAAAAGCAAGGTAAAGCCCGATAGATAAACTCTCCTTCAACAGAACCTGATGCCCCAAGGTAGGAGTGGTCACATAATATATTCAAAATAGGACGAATTGAGCTTCTTTGTCCCAAATTTACTCGTGACATAGACGAGCAGCAACCCAACTCACAAAAGTATACAAACGGACGACTTGACCGATACCAAAGACTACAGCTTCACAGCAATCGACAAGAAGTCAGAAGGGACACACTGCTTCCGTTTTTGGCCTATTTAATAGCTAAAACGAACATCACCTCGAATGGATGAGAATGACGAAAATCCCTAGAAATTTCGATGGCCAACGGGTACGCCCACACACTCAATTATAGCAAATAATGACACTGAACTTGACCAAATAAGATGAACGGACTTTATTACACATCAGCCATTGATATCACAGCTTCCTCAGTAGCAGCCCACAAATAAACAAAGCCACAGCATCAAGATACCACACCCGCGCTGAGATTGTTGACGTTGTGATAGACACGTTAACAAAAATGATACAATGAAGATTGTGAGGCAGTTAGGATAATTAGAGATGGTAATAAAAAGGAAGAGACTAGCGCTGCTCCAGATTTAGAGTTTCCTGAGGCACTAGCTTCATATCAGCCAAAGTCACGTTGTCCGGGAGAATTGCCGTCAACTGGAATTGGAAATATTACGTTAGATCGCTAAAACACAACTATTATTTGTTTTCCGCGGCCACTGCTTACATCGACTCGGGGGAAGGTGGTGAGAAGCTTGAAATCCGTCACAGCGTAGCCTAGCGACTCCATGTAGTTCTTTAGATCACGAAGAGTGTCCCTTGCCCTAAAGCGTCGCGTAATCATTCCATTTTGAATGGGTTGTTTCTCCAAATCGGGGAGGTGCTCGTAGGATGGTGGAGAGGGCAGGGTTGTGGGCAGACGAAAGCGCAGGGTTGTCACGCCTACAGCGCCAAATGGAGGCTCAGGCGGGAGAGCGAGACCTGAGGCGACCTGCCGATTCCGCGCCTCGCGCTGTGCCGCCTCAGCCTGCATTCGCGCCTCCGCTTTGCGCTGGGCTGCCTCCGCCTCCTCGCGCTGTTTTACTTCCACCTAAGGCAGTGATGAAGAAGATCGGGCAAACGGATGGATGGACGAAGTGACTGAATGGACGTGAAAGACTGACTGAGCGAGACTGGAAGAGCGGCTAAAAAATCAATTAGGTAGATGAGAAACTTGACGAACAAATCAATGAATTGTTGACTGAATGGAGTAAATAAGACCTGATCATGTCAAGAATCAATCAAACAAATGAATTTGTGAGTAAATGAACAAAGGGTTGAGGAGATGACGCATCGATTGAGCCCATAGAAAATTGATGGAGAATTTGAAGCGCAAAGAGAAATGCCCTCAAAAGCGAAATGAAGAATTGATAATTGAGCTGGTGAAAGGGAAGATCATTGACAGATAAAGCAGGTGGTTAATCTTGAGTGAAAGGGTTCGAGCATGGTTTTAGTCATTAGCAAACACCTCACCTACTACAGACAGCTCTTAGCGTTCAAGATAATTACAATAAAACAAAAAAAGCATGATCTGCGCCGCACAAGAATATTTTGGATCCTTAGTGTCAGGTCGAGAAAAAGACATGCAACCTCATGGACACACCGACCTCAGCATAAACGATTAAAAGTCCAGATAGCTGCCACTTTCATTTCAATTCAATTGTTAAGACAATTGGAAGAGATTCTTTTAACAACGCAGATGCAATATACGAGGGAGAGCATAGAGAATGAGAGCAACCGAACTATCAGGATGATAAGCGATAGATTAGAGATAAATCAATTCGTAATTAAAGAGGTAGCAAAATAGAAAATTAGATAAATAAATGAGTAATCAGAGGGTTGGATGGCGTCTCATCTTCTCTTTGTATTGTGATACCGTATCGTCAAAACTCCACGCGATTTCAGAGGCCAGAGGTCAGGTCGAAGACTAACAACAAACCCCTTATCGTTTAACCAAAGGTGAATAGATATCAAACAACTGTTCTAAATTTTTGCTATCTTAAACCCTGCATTGAAGGGCCGGAAAACCAAGTTCTAAGGTTCAAACCAATGCTACTTAAAATAATTGAGTAAACACAGAAGCCCTTCCAAATACCTTTAAGCGATCTTGTTCAAGCGATTCCTTGTAGGCCCGATCCTGCTCTTCGCGCATCAACTCTCGTTCTGCTCTTTGAGAATCAGCCTGAATTTCAGGCTGCAGGCACTCCTGGTACATCAAATACTTCTGCCAGAGCTCATTCACCACATCCTCCGCATCAAGTTTGCCTCGAGGACGGGAGGATGGAGGAGCTGCAACGGGTGACGTAGAAACAGAGTCCAACGGTGGGAAAGCCTCCACCGCATGACTATGATCATCAGTTGAGGACCAGGAGTGAGAAGAGGCGGGAGTGGTAAAACCATGACCAGTTAGAATGGTTATTACCTCGAAAGAACCTCCCAATTTGCACAACATTATCAATAGTGGAAATTGATCCGTCTGTGTGAAGAAAGAAAAGTAAAAGCAATATAAAAATTAGCCAACAGATTACCATAAGCAAATGCATAATGGCTGGACCGTTTTGTAGAGTAGGTAAGTGTACACCTCATAAGACAGTGGCCGTTCGTTGGTTTAAGTTGAACAACACCTAAGAAGGTTGGATGGATCACTAGCTGTCCTGGCAGATAGAAGCTTGACACAAGATTGCGCCAATATCGTCAGCAGTTTTATCGACCAACTCCACATATGTTAGAGCAATGAATGTCGAGCCATCAATAAAATTTTAAGGACACGTTCAGGATTCCAAAGCAAGATTACTAAGATGGCCTTGTTTCAGTTTGAACAAAGCATGACACCCCGAATAAATATGGTGATAAATATCACACATGAATCACCTGCATTTGGCTAAACTCATTGGCAAGGTAATCAAGACGTGGTTGCATCCAATGCTGAACATTGGTCCTCGCTCCCTCCAGGGTGACGTCCCATGGCCATATTTTAAGTTGATTCGCCTCCATAAATTGGTGCATCTGTTGCGAGCACAGCAGACGATTGCAGAAAATGTGAACTGCCACACTGTAATCATGGTGAAGATAAATGAAGAGGGGTTTGCGCTGAAAGAAAGAAGCAGAATACTCGTTCAAGAACAAGACAAGATCGTTCAAACATTCCAAGAGAAAAGAGAACCCACATCAGCAACACGGGTAGTGTTGAAGCATTGGCTCAAGGCTTCATTGAAAGTACAAAGGAGAAAGGGTGGGATGCAGTCTTCGGGATTTGAACAGTAGCGCTGAATAAACACCTGGTAAAAATTTTCCAACGCCTCCTGGGGAGAATCAATAAGATTCAGAGGAACTATAAAGAAAAGAAGTCCCCATTTCGAAACGAAGTCCTACTTCAGAATCGCAAGATAGGGAAATCAGGGTTTCGTTGCCATAGCAATGATGAAAAAGCAAAGCCTAGCAGCAGAAACGTGATCAAGTTGCGAAAGCGTTCCAGATCATCTGCTGAGTTGTACTGAAAGCAAGTGATCCTTGTTCTACGTAAAGCATTCGTGATTTATATTTAGACAAACTACTTAGTCGTCTTGTCTTAACTGCGGGCCAACGGGATTCGAGTGATATGAGCCCTTGAAGCTACGGTAGGTGATAACAGTGCCGTGATAGACACCGATCAATTAAGCTAAGTACATTCATGAAATCCGGAGCAATATCGCCGTAAATACCCCTTTCATTACCTGTTGGATACAAACATACAGAAAATATCAAAATCAGATTCTTTCATAAACAAATTAGGTAGCTCACGAATAGGCGAAATTTTCTTGACTCAGAGATTACCATTGCACTAGTTTTTTGAACAGCAAAGTCACGTTAGAGGAGTCAAAGGTAGACTTTCTACCAGGGCTAGACCAGGAAAGAAATTGACAAATTGTTGCATAAACTACAACGCCAGTCTGAGAAAATGCACTTGAAGGAACAAATCAACATGCTATCGGACATGACGGAAGTAGTCTGTCCGAACTATTCTTTAATCGAATTGGCGATCTAGATCTTCCAGGTCCCTTTGATAAATAAAGCCCGAAATGCTTAACCTCTGGTCCACTACGACTACTAATTAAGATAACTTCATTCGGCTGCACTTTTTAGCAGACAAATATTTCAGACCACAACTTACTCAATGGTAGGGAGGAAGGGTTGATACTACCACCAGCGAAAGTCATTCCATCGTTTGTGTCGTCAATATCGGAATAAATGGTGAAATCACCATCATCGTCCAATTCCTATATAAAAGCACACGAGGCGATTGAATCTCTCAAACACAAAAAAAACAACACTAACGCACGAAAGCGCCTTCCATTGTGCAAATATTTACAATTTACGAATGATGTTGAAACATAGAAACTGTTTTTACTATAAAAAAATTGCATGATTTCGACAAAATTTGGTGGAGAAGAAGTTGCGGACAGGAGAAATGTGTTTTCTGTAACTAGACTGTGCTTTTCTATCTGTGAATACGCGTGTATCACTAAACAAAACCCAGGGGCACTGCTGCGCACAGAATGACGCAAATGACATTAAGGCGTGAAATGAAAGTGGTTAGGAACGCAAGCACACTTCGTTGTCTACAGCAAGTGAATGCGACCAAACTATACTGACAATCACAAGCTCAAAAATCTGGCCAAAGAATAGGCAAAAGTGGTGCCATAGGTAGTTAGCGCGTGGAACATCAGCGAGAACAATAAAAAACCAGTCCCACCCCAAAACAGCGAGGAAACTAAGCTTACCAACGTTACTCAAAGTAAACCAAGGTGATTAGTAGGAGTATCCAAATGCGAACTTACCATGACGCAAGGTCAATGAAATCATCTACATTCTCCCCCAAAATTCTAGTAGTGATGGTTTAGTCACGTGCATGTACATATCAGCACGCGATGGGGCGACATATGCACCGAGAAAATCAATAGGAGGAGCTACATATGTACACGTCCACTTCGGCATTAAGTGAACCGAAATGGCATCCTCGCCTGCTCGCAGATGTAGCACAAAGCTGATATTTTAAGCCACAACGCCTACGCGAATCATTAATATCGCAAATACCGAAGAACGGTTGTGACTTAAGCGCGTGAGTTGGCGACTCTTGTAACGACATAAATCGCCTAGGTAACTCACCTGACTCAAATCATAGTGAATCTTCTTTTTAGACCTTTGGGATCGACGATTGTCCTCGCTAGCGACAACACGGGTAGTCGAAGATGAAGTCTGAGATGTAGACGGAACTTGCGAATTCGTAAGCTGAAAAGAAACCAACACGGCCTTATGGTTTAAGAAAAATGATAAGCGAATGTGATTGGCACAATCCTACCTCAAGGATGTAGGAATTATCGTGCCTGAGATTGTAGCGCTGAAGCTTGTGTTCGCTAGATACGTTGGAAGACATATTCAGATCCCTTACCATTGCTTCTAAACTTGACGAAGTCCCGGATTCCGGGAGAGACCAAACCTGGTTTGACACAGAAATACCAGACTCCCTAGCAGCTGAGCGCTTCAGGCCAGATAGACTTGTGGCCTCGCAGATGTTCCGAAGGCGAATGACCTTGCCATCGACCGAACGCGTATTTGTCGCACCATTGCGTTGGTTGGCAGACCCCGACAGACGAACTCGAAGATCTAATGTACTTGGAAAGGAGGAGCTTTCCTGGCCTGTCACTGAGGCATTCGATCTGGAAGGTTTAAGATCCCATTAAGTGCAATCCTTTGTGAGAGGTTACACGGACAGAACTTACCTTCCTTTATAGGGTCTAACCAACCGAGCAGTCCATGAGTTATTCAGTGGGAGATGCAAACTTCGAAGAGTCTCCTTACATAAAAGCGACCAAAAAGTGCATAAATGTGTAAGAAATTCCCATATAAGCAATCGTATAACATCCTTACATGATCATTCACACTATTCTGACCGCGTATTCCCCCAAGACGCAGAGCAACAAACAAAGCCGACATGTCTGAGGGCAACCCAGAATTTTTGGCCGCATGAACAAAATCATTCCGGTGTTTTTCGATTAGGCACCGCTTAAAATCCCCAAATGTTATTGAATCGCGCACGTTTTCCATACTGATGATCGCACTCTCCTTCTTATTATCGTCCAGGTAAAGCGTAATTTCGAAGTTTAGTAGCTTTGAATGCGGACTGCGCGGAGAGTTAAGAGAAGGGTTGGGTGAGGAAGGTTCCACATCGATCTGCGCCGAACCTTAAGAAAAATAATAAAACAGGTAGAAATTCAAGTTCGCAGAAGTACCACCGTGTTTCCCATCGATTAAGAAGAAGTCTACCGCTGACTCTAGATCCCAGTCAAACTGTTGGAGGATTTCCTCAGCGGTTTCTCTTTGTGCGATGCCTGTGATCTCCTGAGAAAAATACCCACCACATAATGACTTACTTGAAACTGTTTAACTAAATCCATCCGTAAACCCACTGAACCGCACAAAACCAGTGAGCACAAATGAACGCTTTCTTTCGGTGCGGTTGATCAAACATGTACTAAAACAACATCTTTGTTTATTTAATGTCAAAAAGATCAGCTATTTACCGACTCTTTCAAATTTTAACCTTAAATTCTTCGAGGCTTCACTATTTAGACAAGTCGTAATCAGGTGCATTTTCTTAAACTTAAAAGTGGATCTTTTAACGCTACATATGAAACCAGGTTAGCGAATTGAGCGTCAACTACTAGTGTCGAATGAGCTTATTAAATATTGTATGCGACCGTCAAAGCTCATTTGGCGCTTTCTTTTCATAATATTAATTCACCGCTTATGAATTAAATGGTTCCCGTAATTACTAATTCGGCCGCCATGATTTGGCAGTGAGGTGGCCTTCAGGCCATAGTAGACCCACATTTCTAAAAATGAGCATTTCATTGAACCAATCTAGACGTTTTTGGAATCCAACTCTAACATTTTGCGTAGCTGAGGCTAACCATGTTGTAGCACCCAGAGACTTCCCACAGGATGGAAGAAGGCAGTGAGGCTGGATGCATGTCTTCCAAAGAGGACAAAGCAAATGGGTCTGCGCGTGGCCAGAAGACCAGCTCACAAGTACGAGATCTATACAAATCCTAAAGTGACCGCCAAACCTCTGGTGGCGACGTAAACAAAGCATTACACATGTAATGCATATTATCCGCTTAAATTTCTATGCCAAGGAACTGTTTAAGTTCTTCCAAAGAGTAGCGTTGACAACTTCTCTGTTCGCACTCACTTTCTTCTATCCCTCTGTATTTTGTAGAGCTGCCTAGTAGACCTCCCTCAATTATGAAGATGGATGTAGAGGACCATGAGATACTACAAACCATGACACATCCACTCAGTGGGACATGTATGAGTTGAACCGTTACGTATGAGTAACACTAGCTCCCGAATGCTTTTTGGATCTGTAATACTTTGTTTATGTGATCACATGACGTTCGGCAGTCACTTTAGAATTTGTCTGGCCCTTGTACCCGTGGGCTGGCCTTCGGACCACTAAGTCTCTTTCAGCAATAGTCATATTTGTCAGGATCCTCTCAGTTCTTGACTAGTCATCACAACCTATCCCACATGCATCTAAAAACCGCAAGACAACTACTCTTAGATGTTTCCGTCTTCTCTCCACCTGATTTCACTCCACACGCAACCAAACTGTAGGAGTTTAATAACACAATAGGCATTCACAACCCACCAATATTGACTCCAAGCATACTTTTAACGAAATCACTAAAAGCTCATCAAAATGCAGTTTTTTTTAATAATAATCGTAGTCGCAATAGTAGTAGTGAAAGAGATAGGAGCAAGTCTGAACACGCACAAAGAGAATCCACATATTTGAAGCATAAAGGGCGGAAGAATGTAGGGAGAAAACCTCCAGGCCTATAATGGCACCGGGCAGAATAAGGAACCTATCGGTTCAAGTATGTAAGTTCGGATATAGAAAAAAGACGGTAGGAGTAGCGGACATTTGGCAAGAAAGAGGGGAGAAAAGAACAGAAAGAGAGGCAAGGCAGAGAAAGGAGCACCAGCGAGATAACTAGCCAAGCAGGCAGATGGACAGGCGGAGCAGGAGGGAGAGAAGAGGTGAGAGATCAACTCATGTGGCGCTGTAGCTTCCCTATCTGCCCGCCTGCCTGTCACCTCTCTTCCCTCCCCACTCCAGCGACTGCCTCGAGTGATGTGCATGGGAAGGGGAAGAGGAGCAAGGAGAAGGGATAGAGCATCTAAGAGATGAGATTTGAGCGCTAGGTACGTGGGGTGAAGTTACGTACCTCGTTAAAGATCATCTCCTTCCACTCCTCCACAGATCGACTTTGGCTGTCCACATCGGGGTCGTAACGCCCAGGGGGTGGCTACAAGTGAGAAATAAATGGAAAAGACGCCGACCAGCTAATTACGATCAGTAGGCACTAGAGAAATGCGATTCAGCTTCCAGCTACAGAAAGAAGTCCCATTCACACAAAACGACTGCTAGCCTCTTGAATCCTCGACAAAATTATGACACGACAAATTAGGTCGTCAAATACAATTAAAGTGAATTAACATGAATAATCTAATGCCATAAAATAATTTGGAAAGGAATCTGGTCATGTTGAAAAATAAAAATAAGTGACTTGACGGCTTGAAAATTGTGTAAAGAAATCCAGGAAAGAGCGGCATAATTGTGGCAGGGTGCCATTTGCACCAAGACCTTTCTGATCATCCACAACGCAGATCCAATGCAGGAAGTGTGAGACCCTGGTCATGGCAGCTGTACATTCACTCCTACCACTCCCTTTTCACATCAATAGCAAGGCCCGTTCCAGGCTCACATACCTCAAATGCCACCCAAACTAACCCTGAAGCCACAAATCACCGTAACACAGCGTCTTCCCCATAAATACATACGTTACTTGCACTGCGGTTAGAAGGCGAAACCTTTAAACAGTCTGAAAAAGACGGCTGCAGTCCACCTAAAGGTCAAAAGAGTTCACCAATTCAATGTTATTTCATCTCTCATAGTCCCAAGAAAATTAAAAATCAAAGGCGGCGAAATTCTGGTATAAGAAAGTGCGGTTAAGCAGAATGGAAAGGAACAAAGCTAACAGTCGTCTGACTCCAAACGAAACCAAATAGGAACCTGATTCACACTATTTCTCATATCACAGCACATTTCAGTCATCAAAGCACCATGGAACGAGTTTCTGTTAACAATCCAAAGCCTTCTTGAAACATATGTTCAAGACAAAAATGCCGTTCCGATGGTCCCCTTCGAATTCAAAAGAAAAAAAATGACGCATCCAAACAGGCTATGGAAAGTCAATCCCGACGGATTTTCAGTCTTCTACGTCTACAACCACATTGACATTTAGATATCACTAATGTATACCTGAAACACGAACTGTATTCAGGGCAAAGGGCAATATTTAATGCAGGAGAACTTATACACTGTACAGACCTCGCTCAAAGGATGACAGTCTTCATGGCGTTATTCACTGAAGCATGATTTAGGGGTCCAATGCCCCGTCATCATCCCAACACCTCAAAAAGTTTTTCAGCGTTAATGCGTCCGAGGCTGCTAAAAGTGAGTCATGCAATTGAGAAAAGTGGAGAAAGAGAGGGCAAGTCGCTAGCCAGCCAAGAAAACAAATTCCATTTCAGAGCCTTATTTCGGCTAGCTGACATCACATCCTATTTCACCACAGAAGATAGGAGGAGACACCAGCGCCGTCCAAGAATTCACAAGAAGCGACATCAGTTCTTTCAATGAGCCCTAACAAGTGATCAATGAACTCTGGTGACCCCGCAATGAAACCTAATATGAGATGTTTAAAACAGAAGTGTATACGTCTAAAGCAAAAAAAGATCCCCTTAAAATCACAAAAACTGAGGATAGTCGCAACTGGTTCGCTCCAACTAATAGGCAGAGTTTGGACAGTTACGACAGAAAAATTTTGCAGTCCCATGTTTTATAAGCAGCTTTTGAGCTGTACAAAGATGAAACATTCGAACTAATGGTCGCGAATCTTCAATATGTCAAGTTCATTACCACCCAAGATACGAAATTACTCCATTCGCCTGGCTACAATTCCGTACATAGCTTCACTGCCATTATTGTGGTCAATGAGATGATTATATCTTAATCATTTATTCCATCAAGTGGAGTTCGCGTCACAATCTGCGCTTTTAGCTCTGCTACCACCACGACCACCTTATGAACAAAATAACAGTTTGTACTAATGAAATGCTTCAGGGTAGCCCAACCATTACAGCAGCAAGCTCATTTGTAAATTGGTCAGAACACACACCAGGACGTCTCAACCAAAATTAGAAAGTGGATCTTAGAATGCAAAATGAGTTAAATCAAGTTTCGACAAGCGTGATCTAATACAGACCAGCCGAAGGAAGAGGAGCTGGTAGTTGCAAGTCTCCGTCAAAATACAATTCCCATCCATAGCCAAGAAACAGGCGTAAAGTTCGGCTGCAAATCGTTAACATCTCATCAGACGAATAACGATCGGAAAAACCTTTCATTCAGCATCAAAAATTCGTCGGACAGAAAAAAAGCTAACGTTTTGAACACTACAAACCAGTAGAAAAAATGCATTTCTGCACCTTTATTGCCACCGGACATTCCCATTTCACAGGAGCGAAAGAGTGCAAAGGGCTTTCTTTGGTAGGAACATAACGCTCACCTGGCAGGGAAGAATGGAAGGTGAAGCAGAATCCTTATATCGACATACATTGTTAAATTTCTTGACCTCAATGCAGCACCATATAGGCATGGCAAACGGCATTTCAGATTAGAACTTAAACTTTCACTACAATCACAAGGATGTCATCGAAAAGGGGTAGACCAATAGCTTCGTCATTGACTTCAGCATTATTTATGGGGATCTAAGGGACCCAATAAGCGAAAAAGCAAAGGATGATGACGCACGAAATAGTTGTTCAAACATGCCATATAAGTGCAAAATGTAGCCTTTGCTTAATGCGAAGTGAAATGATAAGTAGTTAATGTGGAGTGAAACTCAGACCATTTAAAAGCCAAAAAAAATCGCGACCTCAACCTCTTCATCGCCAAATGGCTGTGGTAAGTGACATCAACAGTCGTGAAAATTCATGATACTTTGAGACAAGCCTTGTAGCAGAGAGGGAAGGATGCCTCACCCCATTGATTTCGGCGTCGTCAATCCAGAGGCTAACGTAAGGGTGCCTGAGAGCCTCATCCACGGTGATTCGCTCCATTGGGTCGATGACCAACATGCGGCTGAGGAGATCTCGTGCCATGGCTGGATTCAGATCTGCATGCCTCTGTACAAAAAAGGTATTCACAGTTATAGCAACGCCCTTTCACACGAACGCAAGCTACTGACTTTGGGAATTGAGAGAGAAGACTCATGTGAATGAGTAAATAATTGTGCTCCAAACGTTGCTGCACACTGATATTGCAGCTTATAGGGCCAGTAGCAGTGAGAATAGAGAGGAAGAATAATAGTTTTGAAGACTGCTAACGAGCCAAAAACCTAGTCATTAAGGCTTAGCAAGGAAAAGGAAGGTTTCAAGATCTGACGAGACTTAAAATCCCAGTAAGGCAAACAGCTAATGAATTAACGGGGAGCACTTTGAGGCCACTTTCAAAAAGACTAGGAATAAACAAGTATCGATAAATCGACTGAAAGGATTTTGACCTTGACACATTCGAACTGAGGTTCCCTTAAACTAGCACGAAAGACTTTTACTCAAGTGCTGTTCACATTAGGCGCCTGGATTGAGATATGTCCTAGCAACAGCACTTTTAATAAACGATGAGCCAGACGAAAAAAAAGTGGACGAATGAAGACAAAATAAAATGTCTCAGCTTCAGAATCTAAAGCCTTGGTTTGGGAGCACTCATGAGAGGAAAGCCGCAAAGGGGCTTGGAAATAAAAATGAAAAAAAAAACATTTAAGCCTATCGTTAAAATGTCATCCGAGATCGCATTGAAAGGTAAAAAAGTGAGACGATGACAGAATGTGGGATCTGTCTAGGTTTAGCACTTGGGAGACAAAAAAGCAAGCATGCCAAAAATTACATGCTGTCAAAGCGTGCAAAAGTTCCCGATGTAAAATTGGCTCAATCGTAAAAAAAACAAGAGCACCAATGGAGTTGGCTACCGTTTTATCAAAAGTACAAATATTAGTCGTCAGGATGGGCATCGTATCAATGGGGGAAATGACCACCTAACACCTTGATTTTCCAATTCAATTAAAACCAAAAAGCAAAAGCCATCCTAACGTAAGGATCTGTCAAACCACTTCAGTAAGATCTCGACTTCACAATCCTCTAACAGCACGATTCATCACCTTTTCAAAGTGGTGTCAAAGTAAAGAGGAACCGGGAGAGTATATGAAAAGGGTTTCAACTTCACACAGTTAAGTTGAGTGAGGATCCAAAGATCCTCCAAAAGGGATACAGAGACTACACCAATGAACTAAACAGCTGGTAGTGATAGCAGAGCCACCCTCAACCAAAATGATACTGAGAAAAACACTACTTGATCAGTCGAAATAAAACCATAATTGGGATGCAGAGAAGTTTTGGAAGGAGTTTGTTTTCAACATTACGAGCAACGAAAATGGAGGAGAAAGACATACTCGACTGGGTTCGGGGAAGACGTCGTCGGGAAACAAGGTTTCAAAGGGTCGTCGGGGCACGTGGGGTCGGGAGAGGACGTAGTTACGCACATCACGATCCAGACGATCAATGAAGTCGCGAGAGGGTGTGCCCAACTCGGCAGTTATTTTGCTCCACTGGTCGATGTGGTCGGTTCCCGGTAAGAAGGTGCGCTCCAGCACCATCTCCGCAAATATACACCCCACCGACCATATGTCGACGTTCGCAGTGTAGCCCATCCCTAGGATCACCTCTGGAGCACGATAATAGCTACCAAAGGCAAAGGTTATAATAAGGCTGCATCAGGTTCTTGTATCTCCAGTATCGTAAATTCCAGCCAGCAGTGTACAGGCAAGCAAACATTACGACCTATCGTAATCATGACCTTGTAGTACCCAGTAACAGTTTTAATTGCCGACTGTCACTTTAAGGCAACTCCAGGGCCACCTTGATGGCAACGGTAAGCAAGCACAGTTCCAACAATCCCATCCAATTTTACATAGCCAGCAGCTTCTCAGAAAAAAATCAGGCTCAGATGCCACCGTCTACAAGAAGGGGTGGTAAAACCGCGTCTCACTTAGACTGCTTTAAACTATGATCCTAAATAATAGCCGGTAAGTAATTGGGATCGGGTAAGAGTGAATTGAAACCGTATTCGGAACAGCCCAGGCAATTGTGCTACGAGCACATTCGTGGTCAGAATCGATTGACAACTTGAATATCTGATGTATAACATTACCCAGCTTTCAACACTAATTATTTGAATGCACACCCTACCTATCCATGGGATACACTCATGGCACAGGCCGTTGTGGACAGAAGACAAACTTCAAAACGGTTATTTCAACCACCGCTAGTTTTCGGAACCAGCCCTACCTCATCAGCCCTAAAAGGAGAGGACACGAGTGAATAAAGGATAACACGCCAACTTTAAACACAATCCTCTACTCCACAAGTAGCATATTAATCAGGATTTAGTGCAATGCTTTAATGGATATTTCAAAAGAAAGAACATTCACCGAGTAACCACATAGGGCGTCATCATAAAGTTCTCGCTACCAGAGCGCGCGAGACCGAAGTCAAGGATCTTGAGGGTGCAATCATGCTTTACCGCGATGTTGTTAGGTTTCAGATCGCGATGAATGATGCCTGCCACATGAAGGTGCTTTAGACCACAGAGAATTTGATACAACAGGAAGGAGAAGCGCTCGTGGTCCAATTCCATGTGGATCACCTGCAGTGCCAATAAGAAACGAAAATAAGTGCTCAATGTTACACACGCTGCACAGAAAAAGTTCCAGAAAGCCGCGTAGGACACGGGTGTGGTGAAAGTACCGAAAAGAAGTTGTTTGATGTTGGTAGCAAGTTCATGTGGGCATCAAATGCAATAATTACAACGAGCCCCAAAATTTGTAATGAATCATAGATAATTCGATGTTTTGTCCGATTTCTTTAATCAGCACTACTAAGCTTGATCAAAATAAGGTCAGGAAATTTATAAATTTCTCCACCTGGTCTCACTCAGTCTGCATCACTGAAACTGATTGAGTCATGCAATGAATTCACACGAAAGCGTCTGTATTTTAAATCCAATCTCAACCATCAATCCTCTTGCGCTATGACGATGCAAAGTGTCAAAAAAGGGAAGGTATCATAGAGGCAATCATAACCGTCAGAAAATGTGGCGTTCAAAAGTCATGCCAAAAATGGTGCATGGCAATAGGCGCCAGAGGAAAGCAGACTGTACTAGTAAAATGGTGACCACCATTTTAAAACCAATCCACAAATACATTCCGCAAGTTTTCTCGGCGTAAATCACTGAGAGAATGAAAACGATTGTGAAGCAAAGCAATTCACAGCATGCATATTTCCTCGGATTTTAGAGGCACTATGAGGAAATATTCAAAACCACTGTTCCATGAAAGCAGAGCCATTGTTATTGAAATAACTACTGGACTTGGCAATGCAGACACTGACATCAAAGCTACGCATTATAGTGACGCTCTCCCTTGCTTTTACACTTCATTTGTTTACTTGAGTTCCAAACGATGCACTAAACATGATACCACCTTGATTTCTCAAAGTGTCTCAAGAGTGTTTTGTGGAAGTACTCCCAATCCATAAGTAAGGTTTTGAGAAATTGACTTCAATACCCACATCCCATCTAACAATCTTCAAGCTCTGCGAGATATAGCGGTTTATTTTGCCTGATTCCACGAATACATCGGATGCGCCTCAAATTCGCATAAAGCAGAGCAAAATGGTAAAAGGAAACGAATGTCTGAATGCCGATAAGTCTGGGAGCACGGTTGGTTGCGATGGAGCCGAAATTCGGGCCTTAACCATGCACAGGATGAATCGACAAAACACGGTAAAAGTGACCAACGCAGATCTTTTAAAAGCCCCAGAGCATCTTATTGGAATGCCAACGTCAGCTCCAATGAAAAAAGTTAGTGTGATTAAACCGAGGATAGGCTGATGATAAGAAGGCTCTTTAACATGCACTTTAGGATATCCATTGTTTAGACAGTACCAATTACAAATTTCCATAATGATCTAAAATGCTGAGTAAAAAAGCCACCACGAAGCACAAAAACTCTGGTCATTAAACTGAATGAATGATAAAACTTCAAGCAGTTGAGAGGAACAGAGAACAAGTCCCTATAGGTACCAAAGCTTCCAATGCTCAAATAAAGTAGGAATCACTCCGTGAGGAAGCATATCCTAGATTATTAAACCGTGTCCTTTTATTTTGAGCGCACTATACACAATAAACGAATAAAGAGCAGATTCCACCACTACAAATTGAGGCAACAAAAAATAAGGGAAGGTTGTTTTGAAAACAAACCAAGCAATTCAAGCTAAACTTGTAGAAATTCTGACATAAAATCCAGAGCCAACCAAAGAATTATTTCTCAGGAAAATCGAAAGACAAACAAAATTCCACTCAGGTAGTCAGAACTACGATAATCCAAGTTCATAAGACAATCCATGAAGAGACAATAGGAGTAGGTGCCGAGTTTGTAACTCAGTAGTACGCACTTCAGGCATCCACGGTGACAGTTCATGACAAATAGTCATCACCTCACGCTTTTACCCCTACGACGCGTTTCGCAGTCATTATGAGTCACACTGCTGGTGTTGATGTCAGTGATTATTGTTATCGTCCCCTCTGCTCCAGTCATAGAAAGATACAGAAGAAGTGGAGCTCGAAAATGAAGGGAAATTATTCCTCAATTTCATATATGCGCACTCAAATATACAGACGGTGGGACAACCAGACACGCATACAAACACGCCCTTCATTTTGAACTCTAAAAAGCACCAAAACAATAACGAACACACGTAAATGAGCGTGTCTACGAAAACAACAAAACAGCGGAAGATCGACGATGTGCCAAAATGTGATTCAAAGGCGAGCGAAGGAAGCCATTTAGTGTCACCATTGATCGATAGGCATTTGAAATCAATCAAAATCCAAAATACAAACAGGAAAGATAACCAAAGCAAATGAGTCGATGAAAACGGAAAAGTGCATAGATTCGCAAACAACAAAAACCTCATTTATTGACGGAACAAAGTACTTAGATAATCTAGCCTCTTTGCATCTCTTGGAACAAGTATGAAGAAAAATGGAAAGCAGCACAGAGCATCAGCACCAATGTGTAAGACTAGTCATTTAAACAAGACGTGGTGAGCCTTTGAAAGTACGGAATCTGACGCACGTGAGATAGGCTAGCATCCATAAGTTCCATAACCAAGTAGACATCCTGAAATTCGTCCAGTGTAGACTGAGGACTGAAGGCGTCGAGGAGAGATATAATCTATGAAGGAAAGAAAACAAGTAAACAATAATAAAAACGTCCTATTAAGCATGTCCATCACTCAGAAACCACAATATAGCAGCTACCTTAAATACCAACCAACGAAACCCTAAGAGCAAGTGGAAGCATCGAATGTCCCGCATTTAAAATCTTGCAGTACATTAAAGCACGTGAGTAGGATTCTAATTATCACAATGGAAAACGGAGGCAAAGTCGTACATTAGCGTAGCACAGGAACCAAAATTAGCAAACGTTCAGAAAAAGGCGGATTCTCGAAGTAACAGAGATGTTTCACGAAACTCTGCCTATATACAGATCTAAATTACCATTTCAGTAAAACCTGATACAAAAACATAGAAACAGCCTAGTCAGGTAAGGGATAAGTGATACTTACATTCCTGTGATTGACGAGTTTCATAAGGACGATTTCACGGTATGCGCGCTTTGCGTGAGTCACATTTTGGAATGGATGCGCCAACTTCTTAATCGCGACCTTGCGCTGAGACACCGAGTCGAAAGCAGAGCTGTACAATAAGTCAACGAAAGAAATAATTTCATGATCACACATAAAGGAACCAAAAAACAACCGGAACACAACAAAAGGTCAAACCTAGAATGGTAATCAATTACCTGTAAGACCTCTAAGTAGGTGGTAAAAGGGGGTAACATTCATTGCAAGCTTGTGTCAAGCAAGACCGTACAAAATACAAAGGAAATCATGGCGATAACATTAGCAAGGAACGTAGTTGGCTTGATAATGCACCACAAACAAACGTTTTAAGCTTACACAACATAACCCTGAGCACCGGTGCCAACGGGACGCAGTCCAGAATAACGATCAGGAATGACAAACTGCGATTCTCCTACAGTTTCGACGTGAAAGTTCGGTGGGACTTGAGGAATGGGAGCGGAGTACTCAGCAGGAGTATCAGTAACCGGCATCATAAACCGACTATAGATAATAAAATAAATCTTATTCCCAGCAGCCGACCAACACGAATTGCACGAGACCGCCGGAAAAGTCACTAAACAAAACAAGCCCAAGTGAGTCTCAAAGCGCCAGCGTTTAAAGAGGGAGTAAAATCAGAATATATCTTAGCAGCTAGTTAATAACAACGCAAGCAACCTTATATTAATTATAAGGTTTGCATTTGCTGATTTATTTAGCGTTATACACACTTAGATGTGTGTTATGGAGGTCTAGTTTATGGAACATCGGGTTCACCTTGTGCATTAACATGCATGATGGACATATCTACACTTTCTTCGAATATAGCAATCTCCAGGCGAAGCAGTCCGATCTTAAGATGACAGCTTTAAGCACACATATGTTTGGATGCAAAACGAATTAGCCTTTCTGCTAAATATTATATGTCCGTACACCCCTCTTATAATGAAGCTAGTACCCCAGTTAATATTCTATTTTGTTTTAATCTGCAGCGTTAAGAATTTTTTGTTTGCTGCAGCACTGAATTTTGTCTATCCCATGATAGGCAAAACTCTACTAAGAGTCAACACAGGCACCGACAATTTTGTGCTCAATGATTATCTACCAGCACTTTCAGAGTTCAGCCATGTAGAACCTCGCCGTGAGCTGCCCAGAGAGAGGACAGTTTTTAATGCACCAAAAAAGGTGATGTTTTTTTTCTGGACAAGTCGAAATTGTTGATGGTTTTCACCCGCATACGATCCTTCGGGATTCTAGCTTTTAATCATGGATTGACTATAACCATAGATGCTATGTCACCGCAGACTTATTGCCGCTTTAGTATAAATAATGCTGCATATCTAACATCGCGTGGGCCATTTTTGTGAGTCCCCTCTTGCATTCCTTCACTGTGATCTTGCATTAACTGTTTTCCTTTTTCTTCATCCGACTTTGATCTCCTTAAACGCATCAAAAGTCTGTGCTTAACTGATTGACAAACTTCCTTTAAACAATTTAACTTAACTGTTCACTGACGAAAATGACCTTCTTATTTTGAAAATGCAATTATGGGAAACGCTCAAGCTTTAGTATTACTTCAATGGGCCTTTCTTTATCCAGTGGCCTGTACTATTTGGTAAAATTCCAAATGAAGACTCACAACTTCCCTATGCAGTTTGGGAAGAGTCTTCATATTTTGGAAAAAGCTAATTTAAGGAATTTTACTGCAATCTTTAGTCCCACGAAATTGTGCACGTTTATGATACTATCGACCCAAAGAAAACCGCGATGTTCAATCCAAGACTGTGTCGGGACGACAGAAGGCATGACAGAAGGATTGGATTAAACATTGCTGAGGAAGTGCGTTCACACCAAGTCTTTGAAATTCACATACTTCGACTTCTATCCCGTGATTTTTTGCCATAGGAGGACGCTAAACCAGTTCCATCAAGAGTTTCATCGGATATTGGCCACTACTTGGACAGGCAATGCGATTCACATGACCGATCTCATGTCCACATCCAACTGGTGGAAAATCAGTTTTTCCGACGCAACGGAATTGATTTTAAGAATCTCCTGGCAGATCAGGATTACTAACACAAATTGCCTCATACTTAAGTGCGAACTCGGTAGCGAGTGCTTTGGTTATTATTCTTATAAAAGTACATCCTTTGTGCCATTTTGAGGGATAATTGAGGAATCACGAACGTGCAGATGGTTTGACGCTTTGATCAACTGAAAATATCATCTACATCGGCTCGAGGAGGTGAAATGAATAGATTGATTTTATTTCCAATCAGGAGGGGCCTTAGTTAGTGGAGTATCAGGAAGGAGTCTACAAAAGGCGATTTTTCTGGTCTTCATTTCCCCATCTGTCATTGGGGCTTGGCATTGCATGGCATAACTTGGTGAAAACTGCTGAAACAGTTTCGTTCAGAGTCGACTGCATTCTCCCCTAGGGTGTCACTATCTTTTGAGTTCTGGTGGTCAACTGCAGACACAATCGTTCCCAGCTCTGTTGGAACGCAATAAGTCTGTCTGCCGTATTTAAGAAAGCACAGGTCAATTTCCTGTTTCAAACGTTTTAATGAGCCCATCTTCGTTACACAGACAAACCTACACGGGAGGACACGTGAACCAAATGCGTCCGGCCTTCGTGGTCGATTATATTTTCTCATTCTTGAGTCGTGAGTTAAAGACTTGAATGCTACAATGGCACAAAAGCTTATGAGTATTGAAGAAATTGCAATTTTATTAAAAGTGCTGACCGATGGCGTTGCACTAATTCGTAATGCCAAGGTTGGCATTTTTTAACACAAAGCATAGTATCAGCCGCTTCGCTAGGGTGTAAACAAAAGTCTTCCATTCAAAAGGTTTGACGCAGTGATAACTATGATGGTATACGCACTTGTGACAAAGGCATAATCGTTTGGGAATATGCTCGACTAAAGAAGTACTTTCCCCTAAATTAAAGATGCAAGCGCTTACCAGTCCTCCAAGGACTTCTTTATTCGTGTGTAGGCTAAAATGTGAGAGCCAATGTTAGTTAAGCTCATCCTTTTGACTCTCAGAAATTCTGTGGAAGGATCAAGGCTAAAGTGTTGGATAAAATGAACTTTAAAATGGGAGAGTAGTTATGGTTGTTTGACTTATTGGTTGTACTAGCCACAGTTCTGGATATGAGGAGAGGGAATGAATTTGATCTAGCGAATTCTTAGCCAGGTTATTTTGTTAATCACTTTGTGGGCACGATCACATCCAAGACAAAACGCAGACAATCGCCCTAAGGCCATGGCATGTAAGTGAAATGCTGGTAACGGGAGTTTGCAGATTAAATGCCTGTAGTAAGCACAATAAAAATAACGCAAGACTTTGGAAATATACGACAATACAAAGACGAATATCCAAGCACCGTCAAATAAATGAGTGACTGATGAACGGAGGATGTCATTCTGCCACCAAAAAGTTAGTATCAAAAGATTTTCGAAGCTCGTAGTATTCACAAATTTTTCTCGTTTCTATTTCACTCAACAAAGCTGGATCCGCCCCAGTGAAAAGAATTCATAAATCCCAATTTAAGCTACAGTCCCATTCAACCTTCAACTCGCACCTTTTGCATGAGAGAAATGAAATAACTTGAGATGATTAATATACTTAGCTATCAGTACAAAAGCTTGTCTCATGAGTCCTGAACGTCAAATTACTTATGTTAGGATTTCCATTATGTCAGAGAATAGTCGTGTCTGAAGTAGAGTGGGCGCTGAAAGAGCACCTAGTAAAATCGCATAGTAAAAGTGCTGAAGTGAGTAAATGAGTGATGATATGAGGGAGATAAGATCGAATAAGTGCGTGCATAGAGAGTGGTAGCAGACACAAGTGGGAGATGTGATGATTACCTTGTTGATATCGCGATAAATGAAAAAAGGGGTTTAAATGCATACACGTTAATGAAAGTAATGACTGTAAGCAGCTAGGCGATTATTTAGTAAGAAATAGGAAACGATGCTTGGGACGAGGGTTATAAGAGAACTTACATCTCTCCTGCACATAGGTGCGAACACGTCCAATTATGTTGGCACGTCGATTGACCCTACTGAAGGTAAGGTCAGTGCGGAAGGACCCCAGTTCAGCCATTTTCTCCTGCTCACAGTGAGCACGTTTGCCATCTCCTATGCTATCGGCAGTAAAATAGCCTGGAAACGAATGTTCATCAGAGGGATGGGCGGAGCGCACATCAGCTCCAATTCGTTTCCACTCCACCGATGACAAGTCGCTTGGACGACACTGCGGTCGACACTTCTCCGCCGCCTCATCCGATAAGTGCGTGCTGCACAGACAAAACATAAAAATAAGATGAGCAGAAACATTATAATCTCCCTGTAGAAGAAACTTCTGCGTATCATTTTTAACGATTTGAAGTTTACGTGCTTCATGGCATTGAGAAGTATAATGGGTGCTGCATTAGTTGAGCAGAAGGCCTTGGATCGAGCCTTCGCTTTGGTCAGACGGCAGTCCATAAACGCATTTTACCATGGTTTATGCATTTGTGATGAAATCTTCTTTCTTCCATCTCCTCATAATGAAGAGGGTTGGTTAACACAAAGAATATGTTTCCGCTCACAGACTAAAGGGCAATGAATAGAGAACTGTCTGTGCCTCACTCAAAATTACTTATCAAAGCAGTTCATAAAACTCGGGAGAAAGGACATCCACAAGATGTATGCACAATAATGTTACAGAAACTTACTACTTTTGGTCCTTAATTGTTGTATAGATGTTCTCCACAATTTCTTTTGTCTTCTTGCTCGCTCGGCCGGTGTGCAGATCAATCATCACCTCAACCAGATCATGGGTATCTAGCTGCATTCTAAGCCGTTTCAAAATCAAATTTATTCTTAATTCATCCGTGATGAAGCGATGATTTGCTTCCACATGTGAAACTGGTAGCCACGACAATTCTTGTAGTTGCTCTCCCACCTCTGCTGATTCTTTTCCTTCGGAGGTGATCATTGAAGGCCGCGGAAATCGTATAGCCGCCTGTAAGTCAGGGATTTCTTGCCACACACTTCGACTTAGTGAGGAAAGAATAATGTTCTTCCTACGCATGGTTTCCTTTCGGCTAATTCGATTGAACCAATGTGCCATTCTCTTCGGTAGTCCGTCTTCAACTGAAATCGACTTTAAGGTTTCACTAGTCATTGTCGTTGCAGGCTCGGTTACTCGTGCCACGTGATTCACTCGCTCTTCAACACAGTGTTTGCGTGCTCTGACTGACTTTAACGGTTGAATATTCTTTATTGTCATGTCTATGGGTTTAATCACCTCCACCTTTGGTATGTTGACCTCGTTAAACTGATTTTCACGTAAGAAAATATTTCTCCATCGTATCTGCTGGTCCTGCCAAAGGGGAGGGAGTCTCGTACGACCAGAATGTGGAGGAGAAGGCGGAGGCGGCGATAGTGGTGAAACACTGTAAATGCTTTCTATCTCGGCAAATTTGTGAATAACTGGAGGTAGAATTTCACGCACCATTGTGGCCATTTTAAGCTCCAATGGAGGAAGATGCGACGAAGGTAATAATGAGAGCTGTTCTCGAGGTGTACTTTTAACTTCTGACTTTTTCTTTATCAACGTTTTATCCTTTCGTGCTTTAGCAATTCTTGATACCCTCTTAAGCGACTCCTTAGTACGAGTTGATTTTGTTGGGGCAATAAAAGTTTCCTCGCCCTCCTGTGATTTTAGTTTCCTAGTAGGCAAGGAGAGCGTGATTAGCTTTTGCAACTCTAACAACACGATGAATGGATGACGTATGATTACTTCCGTGAATGCTGTTCCTCCTCTTTTCTCAACTTCGAGGTCTGGTCATAGGCCTTCCTCTTTGCTGTGGCGGACACATCTCCCAGTCTCTCATAGATAACAGAGAGCTGAAATAAAACCGGATGCGTTATTCTTCGCATAGGGATTTTCTGCCCTTTTAACCAATTTCGAGGTACTCAAACAAAATAAGTGTTGACAAGATTTCATAGTCTATCACATTTACAAGTGCCGCCTTTGGGCATTGTGAAACAAACTACTGAGACTCACTTTCTTCTTAGCCGCTTCTACAGCTGCTAGGTGTCGCGCGAACTTTTCCCTTTGAATCTCTAGCTTTTCATTTTTCTCCAGTAGTTTCAACACATCTTTCTTGAAAAAGGGAATTGGGTAAGAATAGAATGTAAGCAGGCAGTAATTTAAGTAGTGTGGATTAGAAGACAAGCAATCAAATTTTAGCCTATTTTTTAGTGCAATCGGCTCATTCTCTGTAATAAATTGCATCCACTAATAAAAAGGTGTCGAATCAGTCCATCTGAGAAGCAAAAATTGAGTCAACCTGTTATCATTAACTGTCCAAGAATGAGTATCGCATAAATTGGCCTGCCATGGAATGCTAGAGGTGTCAAATCCTTTACCGATTTCACGACGCAACGAAGAAAGAGAAGCGTACCTCGACATCCACGACGGGAGTTAATGAAAGCTCAGGCAATTCGAATATCTAGAACAAAAGTGTCAAGTTATTTTAGTAACCCCGAGTTTTACAAGGTTACAACACCTCAGTACCCCAATTGTCAACCGTCAAATTTCTCGCAGAACTTTAAGTAAATTCGTAAATAAAGGCGATGCCGCATGAGAAGATGGAGAGGTGTGCCTTAAGTTTAAGCATTTCAAATCAAGCAACGGCAACCAGTTCAACAACCTAGCGAACGATGGAAATAAAGTGATTTTCCATGGACTGCAGTGGTCAGCATCCAAAAGCAGTACTGATTCAGGATTATCAAAATTACGAAACGCATTTTAGTGCCGACAGCAGGGAAGAAGCCAAACCCATCCATTCTGTATCCTGGTTGATTGGCTCAGAACCTCTTATAAATGATAGTAGTTTTCACCTGAGTCGGTGATAAAGCTTGTCAATCAGTATGCAGGTTGTAAGGATTGCAGGTGAGGCAGCGGAGCCTTCATCTATACTCGATTGCCAGCTTCTGACTAATGTGGAGGAAAATGAGTCAACAACGTATACTTATAAGTGGATGCTGCACAGGCTCAACTGCCTCGCTTCCAACTGGTAATTCCTCGCACAAAAAAACATGAAACGTAGACATTCTTTTGAAACAGAGAAAGGCGGTGTTTTAGAAAAGTACCGGACAACCCAGTTAAGGATAAATTAAGACCAGTCAAGCAGTCTAGGAACAGAGAATCGACAAGAAACGGATTGAATCAAATTTGAAGAAAGGGGATATTTGTTTGCGTAGACATGGGGATAAGCACTGCTGCTACCATGCCTTTCTCTACCGCTAGGTGTGGGCATGTCCTTTTTCCCAACGCATGTCGAACACGACCGCACTTAAGGCTAAAGGCTTTTTCAACATTCGTAACGCGTCGATTGATAGGACAAACGCTTAAGTCAACAATGTACGTTTGGGATTTAAGAGGATAATTTGGCCAATCGCCGGACTTATCTTTCCTCTTCGAACTAATCTTGCGATGTAAAGTTAATTTTGCTATAAATTTGGGAAGCATCTCAATCAGAACATGAAAATGAAGCCGAAACTCTGTGACAAAAATTAAAAATAACGTCAGTGGTTGTGACAATACGGGAGTAAATGTGAAATTTGAATGAAATTTGGAGGCAATACACTAACCGGTAAAGATTCGGCCCCTTCTGAAAGTCTTGTTGCGCAAGGCAGAACACAAAACTGATCTTCAAAAGCCTAAAATTTGCACGATTCATGTCACCTGTGTTACTGTTCGGCACTTTGGAGGAATTTTCCATTTTACAGGTTTTTAGGAGCCTCAAAAGTATCGTAGGCATGATAAAAACGCTTATTCCCTCGTCCTAGAGGTTAAGTGGACAAGGATTCCATGACCTCCATAAGCAAAAAGTTAAACAATTAATTTTTGTTTTAACTCATAAAGGAATAATCGTTGTAAGGTCAAGGTTAGTAATAAAGTGGAACAATGCTTACACCTTCCATTTTCTGCTTTGGTGTAATCGGTGTGGTGAATTCCTTCTTCATTTGAGGTTTCTTTTCTTCCTATTGAGTGAACATGGAAACGATTTACCACTGTTTTGTGAGTAAACTGGCCACCACCAGAAGAAAGAATTTTAACCATTCCACTTATGACATCGGAGATCTCCATGTGAGCCTTATTATCAAACAAATCTACTCACTTTACTAAAAACTTCCTACAATTCTTGCCTTTTGATCACAAACAAGTCAAAAGATGAGCTGTCTTTTATCACTTGCAACCAATGAGTTTTGCCAATATGCCTGAATCCACAGTGTCTGAGCCACGCACCAATGAGCCTTCCCCTGGAGCCGGGTGACCAGGTGCTAACGTCTCCTTCTGTTGACGCTGTGCGAGAGAGAACGCGGAAATTAAGGCAAAGCCTTGTTGCAGTTGTGAACAAACTCTTGTTTGGTGATTACATCTATGTGGTTTATTTTATGCTTTGGCGCATAGGTTTGTAGTTAAGAGACGGATTTGGTTGTGTTACGGTACGAAATGTAGTCTTTTAAAGTTTAAATTTATACAATAAAGGTCGCAAATGACCAAATGCAAATGGTAGCTTCTAACCGATTTCTTCAACCCATAGGTTGGTGGTTTGATGCACAAAGTGGTAGGACTGTACCTATACCTCAGCTGTACAGCAGTTTAGTTGCATAGAACCGCCACTAAAAAAGGTGCACAAAAGAGCTTTGAAGAAATAGCTTCATCGAGGGTTTTGATGTGGTCAAGGTTGCTTCACGGGTCCGATATTAAAGTTCCCAACCAAAATCGCGCAAAAGTTGAGCAAATTACCATTTCCACTCCAGTTTCCTGTGGTAGCACTTTTGCTGAAGGAATTGCGGTGGGCTGGACCACCTCCGACTAAAAGTGATTTAAAATTTAAACCAAATTAAGTGCAGGATATTAACTGTACTCAATGGTTTGATTGTCTTTGGCCCGCAAAATCCAATCTGCCACAGAAATATGCGTTTTAGCCTGTGACTTGAGAAGGCGCATTAATGGCAGCGAAAAGAGAATGCAATCCCCAAAAGGACATCTCACTTTATCTGTACACCTAGAAAGAAAGCAATGCAAACGGAAGAGATTGTGAAAATTTTCGTAAGAAATTTTAGAAGTGATGGCCAATTTCATCATTTTGCCTCAGGCAAGCTGCTAACGATCAAAGAATTGCAGCCATTTATGAAGCCTTCCAAAAAGATCCATGATGGAGCCACCCCAAGGGCTAGTAAAAGCAATAAGCGAGAGACTGTACTACACCTTTTTGGTTTCCCTGCAATTTGAATGGAAAATGTTGAAATTAAAGAAGTTGAGCCAGAGTGTTTGAGGAAGATGAAGATGGGACCACTGCTGCTTGTTCCTTAACTGGCTGCTTCTTACGATCAGCTACCGGCGTTTTAGATGGCCATCATTTCCCGTTTTCTCTTAATGAAGTTTCCGAGAGGATTAAAATTCAGAAAAGATGGAAAATAACTCCCTTTTCAGCATCTCCAAAGTTTTGTCGCTGGCCAAGACAGGATGAAGACCGAGGTCCTTATGCAATTCACTCAAAGTCTGCACCTACTTTAGTTTTATAGATCCAAAATAAACATGCTTATTTAAATCAAGATGAAAGGATAAAATAGCAAAGGTGCATGAATGTAAAAAGAAAACATTGGATTGGTCCATTACTTGGACTTCCTTCGCCCTCCGTTTAGCTGTTTCTGGGGGAGGGATTTCCCCCCGGTTGATTAAGTATAACACATATTATGAAAAGTGGTGCGAATGACACGCCGCAAGGAACTCGTCTCGTCCACCGCACAAAATTACCATACTTTCGCCTTCACTTACAGCTTCACCACGACCAACGAGAGATTCTCTTTCCCCCTCCTAAAATCCATTTAGCAAAGGTTTACAGATTTATGCGTAAGTGGTTTTTGGGTAAGATAAAAAATAATAATAATTCCAAATTGAAAAAGAGGACAGCGCACCCAACCTGACAGTAGTCAAAGCCCGTCATATGCCTTAGCAACACGCATTAAAAAATGATCAAGCAATTCTCACAAACCACATTAGCCATGTTTCTGGGTGTGGAAAACGGACTGAACAGTTGTGTAAACAGGGGGAACTCAATTCCCACAACCCCTGAGATTTTGTGCTTGGTTTCAGATTTCACCTAATTTACCTAATTTTGTGCCAAACTTGGTCATTCGAGAAAATATTTTCGATTTAACAAGCATAAAATTAAAAAATATGCGAAAAATAAAGGAACCTCCTTATCCATTTTCACTTGTTAAACATGATTTTGCAAGTATTTTTTGGACATAATATAGTCAAATTTTGAAATATCTTTAAAACATGATTTAACATTTATTGGTCCCGTGACGCTCATTTCTAGCGCCGCAACTGCCTTTGAAAGCCCAACTTATTCCTGCAATGCATTACACAAAAGTTGCTGTTAGGCGTAGATCCGCCACTACCTTGAGACACTGATGTAATCGCCTGACAATCCAAAGCCTTTGTCGATGCTGTCTATCTAAAAATGGGCGCCATTGCATGAAGCGAGTTGAAATTTAGGCGAATGATGCCTCAGTAGTCGAATGCTCTCACTCATGTGCATAATTGATAGCTAATTTTATATTCATGAAAGAAAAAGGTTCGTTTGGAGGGCTTAACAACATTTTGATGACAATTTCATCCAGCAAGCCACTGGGTGCACAAGGTGAATGTGGTAAACGTACCGCAGGTAACGTAGAGGGCGGTTGCTCCACGGTTTCTCGGAAGCTCTACACTTAATGAAATTTCCTTTTATCAGCACGATGAGCCAGCTTGTCTCCATAAAACATAGAGGAGATAATCGTGTACCGGTTAAAATTTGAGCCTAACTTATTAATACTGCCTTATACTATCGCGGTTAAAGAAAGCGCCAAACCCATTGAGTGGATTAAGAAATAATAATAACGACACCAACAGAACCGCAAAATGTCTACGCTGAACAACCTTAGCAACGTGACTGGATTATCTTATTAACACAGCCCATGGCCGACCACAGTGAAAAATTTATATCAGCGGTGGGAGTTTGGGAGTCAAATCACTTCACCCTACCAGCCATCTGTCTATGATCTTCTCAAATTCAGGGACGGATTCCGCTCTTGCCTTGCTCTCTTCTTGTAATCTACGTTTTTGCTCCTCCAGTGCCTGAGGGAAAGAGAAGGTTTAGACAGAATCCTTGAACTGATATTTTCTAATTTTTTATTAAAAATGTTAGATTATTTTAGCAGAAAGTTGGAACAACAATTATACACAAATTGCAAACTAAAATACAAGTTGCGTCTTCCTCCTCCTTACTAACATCAGTGAATTAATTTTCACTTATCCATCATTTTTTAATGCATTTTGAAATATACAGCCTCCATAACCAAAAACTACTATCATAAGGGGTTCTGGGCATTAGATGAAATTGTTAAAACATGCACCTCTATTTGGCCTTTCACAATCTCATTCACATCTTGAGGGTGAAGTCTTAAAGCGTGGACAGCCAGTGCTCTGGTCCTTTCAAAGTCGTACCTGTCTTGCTACAAAGTATCAAAGAAGTTATTTAAAAATAACATTTATTGCTCCTTCAAGGTTTGATGTAGGAGGACAATCAGAGTTGTGTTTTCTTGTTAGCGAATTCACCATTTCCATACTGCATTGTTACGCGTCTGACACTACCTACTGAATCAGTAAGATTAATCTACTATGACAAGGGACGTTTATAAATCATTTATTTTTCGGTTACACAATAATTAACAGTAATTAGACAAATGCTTAAAATATTTAACCTCAGTTAATCACTTCATTTAACAATGTTCCAGTAACCACAAAATGAAGTCTAAATGCCTTTTTAAGCAATCAGTCAAAATCGTGCAGTGGCAATCTAGTCACATTTGTTAATTTCTTCGATTCGAAAAAAAAAATGGATAGGTTTCAAAGTTGACCTTAACTAGAGGATCTAGCCGCTATCTCTCGTCGTGTCACCTACATCAACAAACGCCTGTTCATCAATGTGTTTGAGGTAGCTTTTAAGGGGTTCACGTTCAGTCTCCTCGATCCGAAGTCGACCACCAATACCATCCAATACTTCATATGGCAGTTCGTGTACACAGGCTTGAGGCAGATCAACGAAGAAGTCTAGATGACAGTAAACCAAGTCATCCAGCACCTGACAAGCAATGCCATCAAATGTCACTTTGGTATGAACGAAATTGCAAATCTTTGAATTTTTCTCAATCGCTAGGTTACGGAGTTAAGAGGGCAAAAAGTAGGTCTACGACACCCTTGTGTTTTAAAGAAGTGCTTCAATTAATTTTAAACTGGACTCACCGCAATCATCACTGATGGTGGGAAAATTCCCATCCACAAAAATCTCCTGCAACAATAAAAGTATTTAGAGTATTTTTAAAACAAAATTTTATGTGCTTTGGAGTTTACTCAACCTCGTACTGGTCCTCCAGGTCTGTGCAGTACTAAAATTTTAAAAAGGTTAAATAAATTTGCGTTTAATGAACTTTCAGAGTTTAAACCATTTTCTTAACTTTACTAGTCCAAAGTTAAGTTTATAAAGCACTTCCAACCTAAACTGGTGCTGAATCGAGGTGTTAAATTAAACTTTTACAGTGTCAAGATTACATCGAAGTTGCTCTTGATTTCCTTAATTGGAACTTTGAAGCATTGCAAAACTTCCATCATGGCACGACACTGGTTGTAAGCCATTTGTCTCTCGTCCTTCTGAAAGTCGTCTTTGTTGAGCACTATCAACATTAGATCTAGCAGATCTTGCAGTGTACTACTGACAAACAGTGTTGCACCTTCGGCACTGAGGGCCTGAACACTACAAAATGCGAGAAGGTGGATGTATTAGTGTATCCTTTACTTCAAACGGACCAATAATGTGCTAAAATAAAGGTTGGTCAGACGTTTCTGCAACATAGGAATCGTGGTTAAAATAACTCAACGACAGCATACTCAACAAGTTTGATGACTTCAAGGAAGATGTTCCTGTCTTGATTCACGATTTCGGGTGCAATGGAAAAAAGACATCGTGCCGTGGTCCCAGTCATTTCAATTTTCTTCCTTCGCCAATTCATGTACGCCACTAATTTGTTGGCCTGCTTCTGCGTTGGCGAGAGTTCACTAAACAATTCGCCTTCGAAATTCCTCTGTAGCATTCAATAACAGTCTTTGTTTAATGATACGTGGCGCATTCTCGGGGAGTACAATTTAGCGGAGCAAGGTGCTATCATCCTGAGGATGATCGTTCATCTACTCACTTTCAACAGAGCGAATTGCTTCAAATGTTCCGCTTGTCCGATTTCCCGGAATTTTTTGTAAAGTGGGACTAATTCATTCCGAAAAGTTTTTTCAAAAACAGCCTTTAAAGCGAGAAAAAACTATTACGATTGTGCTGTAGTCAAAAAATGCTTTCACTGTCTCGCCTTAGGCGAGGAATAAGTTAGTAGGTTTAAAATGAAAGGCAAGGGTTTAACAAATTCCCGTCCTCTGGCACTTACATCATGCATGCGCTCCTTGATTTCCTCAGTAAGTGAATCAGCCAGTGGTGCAAAATGAATCGCTTCATTTGGCATTTCGGCAAATTCCTCCTCTGAGTCAACATTACCCACACTTTTGTCCGCCTCAGTTCCTTGAATTGTAACCTTATGCCATGGTTGGGGTGTTTCCGCGTCCACAAATTTTGCCAGAGATTGAGGTATGTAACGCAAGTACGACTGGGGCAAGGATAGCTTTGTTTCTTGTTGGATTTAACAATAATGCAAAAGGTGTTGTTGAAAATAGTTTCATTAAATCGAGTAATATAATCATTAATAAATGGCAGCATCAGATTATGCAATTGATGAACTGCAATTGTGGTTTAGTCCTTAAATTGGTGCTCTCAGGAACCTGCACCGGCTGCCTGGTTTTATGGCAAGCCAGTTGTTGTAAGCCCAAGTGAGCATCGGGCACAAACATTCGACCCGAGTATTGTGTTCTTTTCTTGAAAGTACTCTCAAGGCCTTAGTTCAATGGCAACGGAAGTTGTACGGCAGGCAAAAGGTGCCTACAGTGAGGTGGCCTTAGCGCTGCAAGAGGATTAACGACAACCCCCTACGGGCGATCCATAAATGGACTCCTAATTCAACAGCCTTTCGATGCTCAACTTTGACGGACGAAATGGTAGCGGCGGAGCAAAATATCGTCATGATTTACTTCACCTTAGTGCAAAAGCCACAGAAAACTACAATTAATATCTTTTGCTTGGTTTTTTATTTTAACTCTAGTTAATTACTTCATTTAAATCCAACAGGCAAAGTTGCAACGTCTACCATAGTTTGTGAGAGAGTTCAAACACTCCTTTTACACAAACTGACAAAGAATTTACTTCGTAAAACTCAAATCCTGTGCAAACAAATATTACAATTCGGAGGTTATTTAGTGCATGAGCTACTAAAAATTAATGAAGAAATTACCTGTGTTTCTCAAGAGGATCGGATGCTCAAAGTCCCTCGGAAACAATGACTACAGAATGGGTTGGTAAGGACTACCAATCCGACAACTTACTCCTCCAAATTGCTTAAGCTCCGGATATTCCTGTAAATCACAAACATTTTTACGGTAATCATGCCATCACATAAAGGTAACCGATAAAACGTGTTCGTCAGTATTTACTGAATGCGTAATGCAAAAGAGAACACGCATTTTGTTTGAAGCGAAATTCGTTTTATAAATTCTGTAGAGGCTAGGCGAAGGTGTCCTACCTGCAACTGCTCCTCATACCCATCGATATCGAGCTGGAACCAACAAAGCACATCGAGATTTGTTCTCAGTTGATCGTAAATGGTATATCGTTGCTCATCTTCAATCTCAAATTCGGGGTCAAGCAGAGTTAATAGGTCAGTAACATCCACCAAAATTGACTCGAGAAGAGACTTTAGCGCTTCAGTCGAAAATTGACCGCGTCTAGATGGAGAGTGCTTGGCCTTAAAATCTCAAAAGGCTGTTAGTAGTTTCCAAATTTCTTCACCTATATAGCCCATACTGCTGTCATTGTTTGGGTGAGGTCTTAAAGTTTTGTACTGATTGTGCTGCTATCTCCGATAGTTGATAAGGCTACGTGTTTAAACCGTTGTCAGCTTCAGTCAGAATCCATTTTAACTGTACCTTTGCAAGTCTGCGACACGCACAAACAGTTCATAACGGTCGGCCACATTTTCGGGCAAAGTAAGCCACAAAATCCTCTCAAGGGTGTTTAAATCTTGTTGACTTCTTCGGCTCAATTCCAACTCCTCAATGATATTCTGTAGCTGGTGTTTTACCACATCCGCATGGTAGGGAGGCAGAGGAGGAGTGAGGGATACCTAAATTAAAGTATGCATTGATGGGGTCGTTGAAGCTTCGGTAAAAGAGATATCAACTTTATTTCCTTTGCGTTGATTGCAGTGGTGCCACCGCATTTCGCTACCATCATGAAAACCTGTCTTAAATCCCACAATTGTATGAATACATTTTTAGATTTTGTAGTTCAAACCCCGCATTTCCTACTAACCTCACCCCACTTTAAGACCGTAAATCAATAAAAGGAATTCGAAGCTACTGCTAATTACCAAAGGCATTATTTTAGGAGATATTATTAGTGCATCATTTTCTTAAGCTCAAAAGCCGTGGCCTTAAAACAGCACAAAACTCAATGGACACCTCAATAATGGCATAGCAATATTAATGAAGGTTTTATCCGAAACATTAGCAAGTCTTCGGAAAGTCTTGTCAAAAGAAAACGTTCAGCGTATGGAGACTTGAAGTTTCGTTATTGCATTTCCCTTAAGTAACATGGTCTCTGGTCCCTGTCAGTAGTCCCCTTCAATGCTTTTTCTGCTACAGCAGTATTCCAATGTCAACGATGGGGCAGAACGCTGGTGTTCTGACATTTTAAAGTACACTCAGCCCCCATCAACAATTACTCAGATTTCTTCCCCAGATCCTAAACTTTAATTTAGAGGAAGAACACCAATCACTTTGGAGGGAGGGAGGAAGGCAATTTTGTCGTTTTTATTAGGCTACCATATTAGTCCGGTCTTCTTTGTGCAGGGTGTCCAGAACTTCAGCACTATTAGTCGTGACTGCAAACATCCTACGAATGCCTGAATAGTATCCATAGAGCTCTATTTGATTAAAAGCGTCGAGCTGCGAACAAGGTAACAATGAGGAACAGAGTTAGGTCCTACGCCCCACCCTCAATGTTCTCACGGTTGGCAGCGGGCAGTGTAATCAAATGTTCCAGTGGAGCAGTGTCGACTGCGTTATGCTGATTGGCTCAGCTCTTAGGCAGATGAGAGTTAAGCACCATAAATTTGTATTTTAACTCCCCTTTTGGATTTATATGTGGCGGATTGGAGATCATGCCAGTGGCCCTAGTCCTTTCATTCGCTATCAACTCTTGAGATCATGAAAGGCTGTTGTGACAGCTGAATTCAACTTCAAATGAAAAGCTTTGGCGTCAGAAGGATTTTTTGTCACATATGCAGTTCAACAGTTAGTTGTGCTGCGCCATAGTAGGGATTTTAGGTTTAGCAAATTTCTGCAAAACCTTTCGATTACGCTGAACCAATGAGGTCCGTCGAACCATCCCCTCTATTTGCTAAAGCGTCCGAATGAAACAATTTTATCAAGTAATATATAAGACTTCTTATTTTAGTCCATTTTATTAGCCTCTATTTGATTGTCCTCTCCAGAACAATAGAATATTTCTATCAGTTTCGCCTTGAATTTTCTGGTACTTCTCACTTAATTTTGCGTTTGGCGCACCACTTACAGGTGTGGTGATTGTAAAGACGACAATTTTTCAGACATTAATTATTATTTCCTAAGTAAGCATGTAGAAAATGGGGTACCGCAAGTTTTAAAAATACATGAGATCAGTAGAGAACTAAATCCGACTAAGAATTTAGTTTCCTTCAACGACCGTAGCGCTTCAATTTAACTGCCGACTAATTGGCATGATTCATTAATTACAACAAAGGAAAGGTCGATAAAATGCACAAATGTATTAAATGCTTGCAGACAGACATTTTAGAAAATTTGAACGAATTTAAAGTTGCGTTTAGGTTTTGCGTTCATCACATGACACTAGGGAAATTGGCGACTCCTCAAGTGTGCCAGCGAGTTTTTATAGAACTTGAAGGAGGACAAAAAATGATCTTACAGGCTCTACTTCCTTGGATGACTCTTCTTCAGTCGTGCGTGTTCGTCTTTGTGCAAGGAGGGTACGAGCTCTAGCCATCCTCATCTCCAGTGTCTCCACCTCTTCGATCTCAGGAGTTGCCACCCGTAAGAGTTTCGCTGCTGCCTCCTCATCTTCCAACTTTTGCATAACTTTGGCTACTGCAAGCTCCAACTCTGCTTCGTCTACATTCTCCAGGTCAGTGCTATGAAAAAATAGTCCGAAAAAGAGTCCTTCCTAGCTGCTTAAAAAGATAACTCAGAAGGAGAACATGACGAAAGTAGTGAGGTGACACGTCCCATTTTAAAACCACCAAGGGATTTGTTTGAAATGTCGGTTCCTGTCAGTTACTGAAAACATTGTCTCTTACCTCCGACTTATAAAACTTGTGTAAAACTAGGTTCGATAGTACGGTTTTGAAAATTCTTCATGCAGCTTGTTGTGCACAGCTTCACCCTTATAATTGTTTTGTTTCTGGCATCAAAAGTGGTGGTCTGGTCACCCATTTTGGGCAGAGCTTAAAATGCGTGCAATCCTGCTCATCACCGAGCGCAGACTACAGATTTTGCTTGTGTGTAGTGCTGTGATCAGTTTCTTTTCTATCGTTAGATATGCGTCGTTATATGAACCTGACGCCTGTTAACTAAAGCCTCTTTATTTTATAAGCAAGGATTAATTCAGTACCATTGCCTAGTTGAGTGTAGAGTATGGCCAAAGTGCGTTTTGTCCATTAATAAGTAACAATTTTTTAGAGGAAACCAACATTCACGCATTGTGCACACCAGCATATTTAATTTGACCACCAACAAAAAGTGCATATGACTATCAAACGATGAACCAGCGACTATGGATGGCTTATCCCCCTCCAACCCCATTATCACTAGCTCCACGCTTCCAGAGTACCCATCAAATTATTCACAAAGGACGGCGCATTTACGTGAGTCGCAGTTGGATTTGCCTACTTCCTGAGGTTCATTTACTTACAACTGAAAGCTATCCACTGATGAGAGTATGTGAAAATGTTGTGCAAGAGACACCCTGTTTTACCTTTGTCTTAAGCGTACACTACGATTATGCATCGAAAACCCTCAATGGATCATGCACTTTAGTTAAATACAAAAAGGGAGAGAAAAAGGAAGGAATAGGTCGAAGGTAGACTTGCAAGGAGGCATGAATTTATCCCCATGCTTCTCAACCGACGTTGATCCTATTTGGGTATAGAGCTGTCGCATATGAAATGGACAGGGAAAAGGTAAAAACGCAGAAGGAACGGACCCTCTGAGGTGTTGCTTTTTTCTACATCCAAGAACTTTTAAACAGAGAATTCGTATTAGCCTTACTCTATAAGGATAATAGGTTGTAGTCATGGATGTTGCTACCGAGAGCGTACTTGGGATTGTCCTTTCAGTTACTTAATTTTGATTGTTGATGCCATGAACACTCACCTATCCATCAAAAAATGAGTGTGGTGCTGTTTATTCGCGTAGAAGTTGGTTCACTCTTCAACTATTTTTGAACATTAAGGAGGTCTAATAAAAGGTAAGCTAATTTCAATGCATCTTAATGGCATAAACTTCGAGAAGCGAAGGACCCAATTAATTTCTTCCTAATCCTAGTCTTAAAACTTAATGCAGCTGATTATAGAAAACGGTGTTATCAGTCGCCCCCAGTCGGCCGTCTTTGCGTTGTGGACATGTGACACTAAAAAGACCTACACTTTCATATTCGTACCCAAAAGTGTAACTTTTTGAGTGGTTGAGATACATTAGTAAAACAATCTTTGCACAAATACCTTTGTAAAGATCTCAACTCTGCTGCATCAAAAATCATCGAGTTTTCTACCATCTCTCGTGCCATCTTTATCAAACTCGGTCGAGTCGTCTGCATTTCGCCTCCATAGGCTTCAAAGAGTCGTTTCGCTAACACATCTTCTGTCACGTCTTCAAATGATTCCACGTCTACAAGCTGTCTCCCAGCGGCAGTCCTGCTAGGTGACCACACCATCTCAGAATCACTAGATTCGGAACTTAGCTCCTCTTCGGTGAAGGTTGGCTGTTTCTCTGTCTCTGTAAGTTCCATTGAAACAGCAATCGAAGCAGTAGGAGATGGGGAGGGTGATTTGTTTTTCCTTTCGCTTGTATATAGAGTAGCCGTCGAATAAGTGGATTCGGTCTCTTCTACGGCTTCTTTGATGGCGAAATGGAAGGTTGGGGTAGTCTCTTTTAAGCTAGATAGGCGCTTCAAGCTACCTTCCTCGACAGCTTTAAGCAGCTCCCCAAGATCGATGTTGGGAACCACTGAGGTTCCGGGAAAGAGGTCTTTGTGTACGGCCATTGCATCACTTACAGATTTTCGCATTACAGAGGCCTTAATTCAAAATATTAAAGAAAATGCATCATATTGATGCCATAAGTACTAGCAGTAATAAAAAATTTTGAAACCTAAAGGCACAAAAATTCGGGATAAAGACTAGCCATAGCATGTTAAATATTTCAATGGGCTTGAGAAGTACCTCAAGATAGGACACGTAGTGATATGTATTGACGCCCAACTGTTTGAGTTGCTTAATTATGCGCCGACCAGCTTCCAAGTATATAGTCTTCTCACCAGCTTCATATTCACCACTGCGCAACTCGGCGGCTATCTTTCGAAAAAGCAAGTCCCACATATACCTCACGGTCTCCTTCACATTCTCCACAATTACAAAGTGCCTTTATAATCAAAAAAGAATGCAAGTATAATAAGCCGAAGCCCATGAAATGTTGTGCCTTCAAAACTTATCATAATATGCATAATAGAAATTGCTTATTGTTTAAATTATTCCATAGTTCCCTTTTGTGGTGGAGCGAAAGACTTACTTCAAAAGAGTATTAACGTGGTTGATCATTTCCAACAGTTGAGCAGTTGTTGCACTGATGGCGGAGCGGAGGAGGACAAGCACAATGCGATTGGGTTCTAGTCCAATGTCAGGTTCTAAGAAACCCTCACATTCTACGGCATTTTCCAACTCCCACACCTAAGTGTTTAGCAGAAGATTGAAATACATTGAGACGAAGGGCAAATTTAAAATGCGCGCTTTTATTATGTGCATCTGGAGGATTAACGGGATCACAATCTTAAAGTAATTTTTTCAGCAAGTAAAATAGTCCACTAACCATTACTTTGTCTAATCGTTCCTAAAGCTTACAAATAACTGTCTTAACTTCTTGCATTTAATCCTGCCTAAGAGTTTAAATGGTGGGGACCGTAGCAAGGAAAAATGGACTTAAAACATTTCTATTTGCCAGAAAACAAGCAGATAAGTGTTTCCAAGAAATGCATAATCGTGGTGACTTATCGGCATGAGGCAGCCCGTTTACTTCCTCATCACAGTACTGACATGGTAAGATCCACTGCTGTTATGATTACTGAGCTTTCCTAACTGAGTCAGTTTTTCCAACATTGATCCTACGAAACTATTAGTTTAGTGGGTGAATTTGCAGTAATCAAAACTTTTAATCGGCAAACTTAGAGCTCCACACTTTATATGTTCGCTCGTCATTAAAGTCATTCAGTGAAGGTTATAATTTCGCCTTCCCTTTGGTAGAGTGCCTTTTCTTTGAAGCTCAAACGTCAAAGTTCAGATGAGCATGTTAAATAAAAGAGCTCTTCAGGCCTCAGAGATCAGGCCATATTCATCATCACCCCTCATTTTACACTTTTTTACGTTTTTATTTTGTTTACACTTCTTAATGTGTTTATTTGCATAGGGTTCATTAGAAATCAGAGACAGTGGCACCAGTGAATAAACAAATTGGCGAATCATGTGATGCAGCCTGATGTGAGTTGGAAGAAAAAATTTCTACCAACAGTCATAGTCTATGAGGTACTAAAGGTCGTTCTGTTTCCAGTATGACACCGATTGGTTTTATGTGGTCTTCCTCTTCGGACAAGTTTTTTTTTACTCTAAGATAAATCTCACTCGTGATATGCACAGGACTAGCTGGAAACACAAAAGCTGCACAAGCTTTTCGGTCTTTGCGTGCTTGGACTACCAACTCCTCCTCAGGGAAGTCTTAATCGATTCCACGACAGTGAATACCTCCTAGATAAATCATGATGACAATCCACGTGAAGATGGCATTCGCAAGTGCCATCGGAGGAGAGGAGGACAGATCACCACTTCAGCAGGGCCGCTTAATTTTCCTAACGTTATTGCGTTCCCTCCAATATTTAGAGCAGTTCTCCATTTTAGAGCCTGCATAGAACAGTCGGAACAAAAAAGTGTAGCATCGCATATATAACCCCTACAGTTGATGTAACTTTCGATTTCTATCTCATTAACTTTAGATTTTTAGTGTTATTTAAAGGTTTAAGCTCTGTTCATGGCGAAATGCTGGTGAGCAGAGTAATCCTTTCCTACTATGCCATTGGAAAGTGGAGGTCACTTCGGCGGCTAAACCCCTTCAGGTAGGGAAGCTCATCCTTAAGGCCATACCAAAAGCCGCATCTCCTTTCCTTTCATCCAGGTGCATGTATTCAACAAGGTCGTATGCCCTCTCTCTATTACCAATAGTAAGCCTTGGAAAGCTGCAAAGAGGATTGTATAGTCGAAAAAATACTCACACGTTTACTTAGTCTTGCGTCAATCAAACGAAGGTCTTCCGGATGCAGAATATCTACACGAAATGAAAATAATTATAAAAGTCTTCCAATATGGAGACATAAGCCTCATTCATGCTTCACAGTTTTTTGAAAAATTATGCAGATTTTATTATGGCTTCTGCTCAAAACCAGGCATTCCACACGCTCCGCTCCATTCAGTAGTGCTAACCACGGCAAATAAAGAGCGGAGGAGGTTAATGATACCGTTATTTGGTGAGCTGTTTCGTCGACTCTGTGGGGTTTAGTGAGAATGAGTGCGACTTATTTTAGCCTCGGCTTAAACTTAATAAAGTTGTTTTACAATTGTCTTGACGATCCTTCTTTTCATAGAATACAAAGTTTTCCACAATTTAGCGATTTAATAAGAATCGCCTACCACTGATATTGCCCGGTTCCTCATCAACAATGTAGGCCTCCAAGGCTGCAATATAAATGAAAATGTATGCATCGTTTTACTCATCAAAAAACATGCATTAATTTAGGAATTTGGAATTGCAAGTGATCAAAAGGCTACAGTGAGGCATAGCAAAGGTGATTAATTGAAAAGACTGTAAAAGCAGAGAATTACGAAGATTTATCAGCTCATCTGTTGTCACAGGGACTTCCGAAGGACCGAGTTTTGCCTCTTCAGTTCTTCCAGCTACTAACTGCTGCAGCTCCAAAGACGTCTGTTCTGGTAAATCGACCCCCTATTTTACAAAAAAATAGAAAATTGCTTTGTATCAAAGAAATGATTAACCAAACTCATTGCTAAGCACTTGTTGATTCCAATGTGTAGTTTGACTAGTTCAGGTGTTTCGCATGAAGGGCTCATGAGACCCACCTCCATCGATAACAAAGATCCCACGGTCATACTTCGACTGCGGTGGGGAAATTCATCGCTTGAGTTGACCTGACTTGACAAATCGTCCAATACAGTAGATTCAAAGGAAGGAAGTGTCATTTCATCCTCCCCCATCATCTCTTCTTCCACTACTTCGGCTGCCTTTTTTGCTTCTTGCATCCTCATCATTGGTGCCATTTGCTTCGATTCTTTCCGAACCTCCCTTTTTACCCTTTCATCTTTGGCAGCGCCTTTGAGTCCTTTCTTTTTACCTTTTCGCTTATCCTGACGAGCTGGGCTTGTTTCGGGAGGCCTTGCTTCGACGCTGTAAAGCGGTTGTGGTTGCTGTTGTTGTTGTTGTTGTTGCTGTTGCTCTTCGGTAGGCATTGTAATAATGATAGCTGATTTGCGCCCGTGACGAGATTCCTGTAAACCTTGCTGATGCTTTTGAATCTGCTGTTCCAATTCAGACTGGTGCTTCTGAATACGGGCTAGCCTTTCCGCCGTCTCCTCATCAGTTTTCTAAGAAAGAAAGGGTCAAAATTCCACCCAAGAGACACAGTGTTGTGGAAGTTCATCGATATTTATTAATGTTTAAGAATCTGGAATTGCGAACACAACTTCTTGATCCCACCTAAACATAATAGCTTTACCTTACTTAATTTTCAAAAGACAAGTAAATGTAGAGTACTTTGGCGTAATCTAATCCGAAAGGCAATTTCGATAGGCAACCTAAAATCCGTGCTAAATCAAAAGGCAAGGCAAATGAGATTGCTGATGGGTTTTTTAAACAACAGGAATCCAGATTATTAATATGATTTCTTGTAACTTCATCAACATACTCTTTTGTTGCATGAGCGTAAAGGCTTATTTAAGTTGGCTAAACATACAAAAGAATCTGCGTTTTTGGCTTGTGAACTCACAATAATGCTTTATCATTTCGATTTCAAAATGGTCCACACCTAAAATCGCATGTGTACGCCTTGTGTTAAAGAATGTCCCTTTAAATCTCCTGGAGATCCCCCAAAAATTTTCAAAGTCCATAAAAAACTTTAGTGTTTTGGTCAAGGAAGGCCAGCATACTTCGATACCGCCAATGTCGTCGACCATTACAATCAAGTGCCTACAACTTTCTCTATTTATTATTATTCAAAAGCAAAATTAACAATGGTTGCTGCTTAAAAAATTCCCCACATCTTATCACTTTTGTATGGGAGAGAAGTTAAAATTATTCAGAAAGTCTACTAAAGCTGTCACAGTACCTTACATTGCTACCCTATTTTGCCACCAACTCTGCTAATTTGAGGCTACACTACAATAAACTGAAAAGAAAATCCTCTCTTCACCGACTTTTCTTACAGTCTTACCAGCTTTCCGGCAATGCAATCCACGAGAACTTCCACGTACGTTTCCACCTCCTCCTCGTCGCAGTGCTTGACAGCATTGAGTAGTCCTTGAATAACCTCCGCGTTTGCCCCGGTGAGGCCCTCTATCCTCCTCATTGGAATATTTGCGCCACTGAGGCAGCCCACAATGATCTGATCTACCTCGTCCGCACTCATTTTTAGCTGTTCCATTAAACGATTTGCCACAGTCTCTCTTAAGGCTCCAAATTTCTGCACAAAGGCTTTTATGAAATTTTCGTTTCCTGCTACTTCTACCAACCTTGCAGTAACATCTTTGTATTCACTGGATCCAACTTCAGACCTTCGGTAAATGTCGATACATTTCAGAGCAGACTTCATGGAACCCAAAGCATTCGATAGCAGAGTCATAAGCCAACGTGGTTTTGTGATGGTCCGCAAAAAGGCAGCTGCTCCTTCCTCACCCAAATAGACTCGGAGTTTTCGCAGTGCCACTTTTCCACGATTCAGAGCTTCTGCTACTCGTAGAGCCGTTTTGTTACTGCTACCGAACTGATGATCAAGAAGAAGTAGCGCACTGTTCATTTCATCGTCAGTGAAATATGCTTCCTGTATTGGAGCCTCTGTGAACGACTCTGTAGATTCTGATTTCGTTTTCTCGACAACAGGTCGCTTTTTCCTGACTGGAAAGTGCGTTGATCACTTTAAAACAACTGCTTGACTTTATCAAAACGGCAACAAATGCAACCCAAAATAACCTAGGTTTTGGAAGAACAAGTCGACAACAAAATGGGGTAAAGGTTTCACATTGTGCAAAAATTTGCCAAAATTAAGCCGCTCCTCCTACTTGTTACTCGTCTATGGTCTTCAATGACAACTATGAAGCGGATGTGGCAGCTAATCACTGCAAAGTCAAAATTGACTATCCATTTCGCAACAGTTTTAGCTGCAACCCTAACTCTCAGTCAACTCAACTCCATGACATGGAACTTTGTCAGTAAGACCTACCATTTACGGTCTGTAAACTTAAATAAGGAGACTTAAAGATAACTTTATTCGCTCCTTCGCTGAATGGATTACAGACATTAGGCAAACTACGAAATGAAATAGATTTTCATCTTTTCTCAAAAGAGGAAGATGTTTTAACTTCTACAGTGGTTCGAAAATGTTCCGATTGCAGAAACTCGTTTTATCATGTGAAATTAAACTCATCGAGGCCACAAAATGAAAGTGTTGCATTAAATCATTTGAATGGTAACTCATTTACAAAGAAGGCCTCTGCCTTTACGGGGGATAACGGTTGCCCGGTCTTAATTTGATGATTATAAAATTGAACGCTGAATGCAAAACCTTCGACATTTTAAATGATTTCCTGCACAGTCAGGCGTTACTAAAACCTACAGGTACACAACATAACATTTAAAATTTTGACTAGAGAGAGCAAAACAAAAATAAGTGTAGCAGTCTGAAAGCCTTTCCGTCCGCCTTGAATAGACATTCGTATTGATAAAAACAAGACGCGAATGCGAAATAGTCTGGAAAGAAGGACGTTTTCTGTGATTTTTAGCTACAAATAAAAATTTACTCTTCTGTTCGAAGTTCGTCAGTAGAGATAGCTTTGTTTTGACCCGTTCTAATACCTTTGTGCCTCTTTTTTTGCCAATACCCTGAAGTTGGGCGCCCACTCGCTTATCACAGGTGGCGTCCAACTCCATTAGTGATTTTGACGCCAAAACCATCTCATCCTTTGGAATATGCACTTGTGCTTTGGGTTCCCCACCCGCTGGCTCTAGGGCGTTCGGTGTGGTCATTTCACTGCTGCGTCTTGTATCTTCACCCTAGGTCATCACATAAAATGCCTATTTTACGATACACCCTCAATGAATGATAGTCACAACGAACAACTGTTAGTAGAGGAATCATCGGTGTGATGTGTCAGCTTAGTCATTTAGGCGCACTGATGATGCACGAAGGTATGCTTGTGGATCACCCTTTAGGTTAAACGATGCATACTTTTTATTGTGCTGGCATTCGAGTTGCCAAAATAGTGGGCGTTTTCACCGGTAGGATCGCCTTCTTTCTGCTAACCTATTTTGCTGCCCACTTAAACTACTAAGGCAGCCAGTGTTATTGTTATGCTCCACTGTTTAAAAAAAAGTAATGACAAGAAGGTATTGTTGACTCACAAAGATGGTGGCTGCAAGGAGGGCAAGCTCACGCTGGGCAACGTAATTCGGATCTGCCCACAATTTCTACAATAAAAATCAACATCGAAAACCTAAACTTATTGCTAACAAGCAGTCAGATATTTCAGCTACTGAAGACTACATCTGTCCGAATTTTCAACAATAGCCCGTTGCGCAAATCAACACTCAGCTTTGGCAAGCCAGTAAGTGCCTAATTTGCTCGACAAATGCTGTTTTGACTTCATACGCAAATGATGCGCCAATTTTCGAAACTTCACAGGCTACAACGGCAGTATGAAATAGACTTTAGGATAAGCCAAGTTAGATCTTTAAAATCGGCAGGCTTTGATGCTTCTGAATAAGCTCGCCGGGCTTGGCAAAAATGGGAAAAAGATTTCAGCTTAAGTTTTTGTTGCATTTTTAAAACATATCTTCGATTATTTTGTATAATGTGTATTTAAGTAACGTTTTTAGGTCCAGTTTTTAACCTATCTCGGTGAATTTATTACACCAAGGCAGAAGCATTAAAGTCTTGGGAAGATCTTTCGACTTAATCGTTTCAATGCACTTACCAACTTTTGAATTGATCTGAATGCTTTTTCGTGCTCGATTGTGTTTGGAATGAAGCCTAAAATACGAGGAGGAAGACAATAAGAAGTTGTTCAATGGCAATTCAATAGATGTCAGTCAATCCCTGCAAAGCATGCGCTGACTTGACCTTTGTTCTCTTTTGATAAACAGAAAATTATCGCTCATTAAAGTCATTAAAGGATTTGCGGAATCTTGAATTTCGTTTTCTTTGAATTAAAGCTGAACATTCGCGCTAAGTTTGAGGTGACAGGACATAGATGCAAATCATTATTATAATGCAGTTTACGAATAATCCTCAGCCTCATAATTCGACCAATCTTGCCGTTATTGCTCGAAGAAGAAGACGTTTAGTCACGAACTTGCAGCTTAGTTGCAGCAAGGAGTTGGCATGCAAGTTGCTAACATCGAGGTAGGTTTATCTTTAGCGAAACCGCAAAAATTTTGAGCAATGGAACAAGCTTAAAGCATTTACATCATTATGTTAAATAATATTGAAAGGCGCTGAGCACATTTAAAGATATTTTGGTGAAAAATCCCAAAATGTCAGAAAATAGGCAGATTCGAGCAATACTGCAACTGAACTAGTTTTGGCAATTTGTCCGCTTTGGCAATTTGTCCGCTAAGCTCAAATGGCTTTTTGAAATGTTTAAAAATTTAATCACTTTAGCACGCTGATAGGATGAAGTGGTCGGTTGTAAAACGCCAACCGTCCTAAGAATTCAATTTGTGAAGGTGAAGTTCGCCTTAATCAATATAGAAAAGATTTCCGCTTTCCAGCAGGAGATTTATAGGCGAGCAATTTACCATCTACTGCAACAATATGGGTTGGCAGGCGTTGGGTCCCAAACATCATATTTTTGAACACCACCCTTGCTTCCTCAATGGGACAAACAAGAGGATAGGCATAGAATGGTGTGTTTAACACACAAGCCGCCTGCCAGACGGGATAGCATGTGGAGTAGGCGAGAGGCCAGTAGAACTCCACCTCGTCCTCATGTACCGTAAGTCGAGCTGTGTCCGAAGTGGTTTCGGTGTCGACATCTGAGTCCTGCAAGTCGCTCCTTTCAATCAGCGAGTTGCTGACATTTATGGGGGGATAGACGCAAAGCATGTTTCTCCAGCCTCACTCGGCTTCTAACACGTGTACCACCAATCGATGTGCAAATAATCGATTGTTTAATTTGTTCAAACGTCATTGGTTGACCTTAAAAGCTTTCTTCAAATGGCCAATTGAAGTTGCCACATGTCGATCTTGAAAAGTGCATTTATTTTTCCATAAATTTATCAGCACAAGTTTTAAAGTTTGCTATAAAAATGTCTTCATCACATAGAAGTGCCGTTCCCCAGTTATAAACAACTTTCTATTAACCCAGCGTGCCTTTAAAATAGCATTACTCGCACACCTTAAGAGGTAATGAAAGGATAAATTCAAAATATGCCTTCTAAGTCATGTATCTGGCAAAAATACGATTTACCAAGGGCTATTGTTTTGCTCACGATGATCTATGCACTTTGCAATTATGTATATGACATTTGTTGCTTTGAGTAGTGTTTATGTCATTTGTTTTTCCCCATTTGACCTAAACAATTGCTAAACGCAAATTTCACTCTTGCTATTCGAGGTAAGTAGGTAGATTCAGGCGCAGATTTCAGCATAATGGCCTGGTACCTTGTAGCTTTGAGATAAAAGAAACAATTGTTTGGATGGAGAAGGCTTATCGTCTGAAAAGAGTCAAAAGCAATTTGTGATGTGGACTACTTATGTGATGGATGTCAACATTTTCCCAAAAGGTATTACACTCTCATTTAGGAATGCGAGAGTGTAATAACGTAAGAGTCGTTTGACAGGCATCATCGCCTTCAGTCTTTGGGGAGAGAATACAAACTATCATTGCTTCATAATGTAACTGTTTAACGAGCCGTAGCTGGGTAAGACAGCGAATGTCCCGGCTTGATGTGGAAGTTTGATAGCAGTCTTGGAATAGGGCATTCATGCGACCCATTAGAGGTGACAGGAAGGGGGGACATTGACACCAAGGCCGGTGGTAAAGGCCCTCTGATGAATTAAGCGTAATCCTATCTCATTTTTCGTTCGAATGTGTGGCGCCAGGTGAATATGGTCAAGCCTACTATAAGCATCACTTAGAGTAATTAGGAAATAGAGAACTCAATTTTGTGTTTTATTGAAGCACAATGTAAACTCAATGTCTCGTTTGTATCTAGAACAGTAAACCGGAAATCGCTTTCTATTCAAATTCAATTCCTGGGAACTCATAAAGTAGCTCTTCAATGGTCCTAAATTAGACCTTATTCTTGCCACCCATTTACTGCAGGTCGAAAATAAAGGACCATCGCACTCAAGAGTAAAATGATTTAACATTATATTGATAATCCACCCAAAGAGATTTTGATATAATTTTAAAAAAGTGCATTTAGAAGGTCGTTCTAGGGTTCATCTGAATAGGCGGCAATTCTTTTTTACCGAGAACGTATACAGGTTTGATTATGATGGAATGAGTTCCACATTTGCTCCTTTCACCTCACATCTTACGCCCACTAAAATGGGAAGACAAGGGGTAAGAGGAGAATAAGTACAATGGACAGTGTAAAATGTCAGAGTACAGCGATGTCACGGTTTATCCGCATTCCGGACCTTTCCTACTCTGAAATTGATGGTAGTTTATCCGTCAGCGTCTTCCCTATGTAGGGTTCAATCAAATGATGCACATTTAAAAGCTCTTGTTTTTGTCCCAGAGGCATTACCACATTTTAAGACATCTATTTGTTTACTTCTTTTAGTCCCCTTTTATTGCTCAGGCATTGTGTGTAACGCTCAATACGTTACCTTTGCCTGATGCTCAAAGACCCAAAGGCATTACCGTTAGTGCTGTTAAGTACGGAGCCTAAGAATAGGAACGAATGGCGAAAAGCAGGAGCTCGATTGTATGCACACCCCGAAGTGGAGCAGTTCGCAATTTAAGGTTTCAAATGCTTAAAAACAAATGTGAGTTCAAGGACATTGTAATGAACTGTGCATACATCGACCTACGTTAGTGCTTACCTATTGCTGAGTCTACAAAGTACCATTTTATAACTGGATCAGGTGCTAAAATGCATTATTAGTAGTTTATGGAGATGTGAGTCAGGTTTACTTATGCTTGAAATATGAGGCAAGCAGCCGCAAAGTCGGGATAGGGTGCAGTATTTAATTGGGAGCATTTGAGTGCATTAATAATTGCTGTCTGGCCGCCCTTTTCAGCAGAACAATTAGCCAGACTGGTGTATAACTTTGCCTCCCACTTTCGCTCTCACTCACCCAATCTAATTGCCATTGTTAAGTACTGGCTGTCCCAGCCCTCCATGTAACAAGAACATACAGATCGCATTTCTGATGCAACATGCTTGGCAGTGCCTGAAGCAATAGCATCGACGTATATTTCATGTATTTTTTTAACATTCTTATTATCATCACTATCATACTTGTTTTCAGAGTCACTCATGTATAATGTTATGATGTTACCATCTGAGCCTCAAATCACATTCAGTTCGTACCCTCTGCGGACCTATTATGACCGTTTACACCATATTTTTTGTCACAAGGGTAATAGACCACAAGACATCAAAATTACTGCCACATTTTCTCAGTCAGGAAGTTAATTACACAGCGTAGTCCCGGAACGTCATGCATGTCTCTTTCAATGATGCATAGCAAAATGTTCTGCACAATAATCGACCACCATTTTGACTGTGAGGTTGGATGAGTCTTGCCCGAGGTCTGACCAACTACTACGTGTGTTGAACTAGCAAGATGAAGGTGGGGATAACACTGACGCATTGTAGTGAGCCAACATCCTCACCACTTCAACACGACTTAAATCTGCCAAAAACGTTGTGCTGCTAGCATTTCCAATGACATTATGGATATATGTTGAGCCTGTGTCCGACCCTACTTAATCATTTATGCGCAGTCTTGCCATTACAAATTGGGTAGTCTAAGACATTTACATAGCGCTTGGTGGTATTACAGTTCACCCAGTTAAAACTTTAACCAACTAAGGAATTAGTCTTATCTTAGGAATGTTCGCTGAACTCCAATACGAGTTTTCTTACATAAATGAGCGTATTTTTTAAAACAAATATCCTTTTTTTCAGTCTAGGAATGTAGCGCACAAAAATGAATGGAGGATGGGATAATGGGATGTTAGAATGAAGAGAAGTAGAGGGGCAGTCACCACCTCAGTCTTATTAAGCACAAGCGGGAGGAAAATTACCAGTGTAAGCGCCTTAAAAAAACTTGTACAATTCTAGTTCAGATGTAGTTTATGCTATCATTCTGAAAGATTTTGAGTATCAAAACGCATCGAACACCATCAATGAAGTCTGTCCTGTCAACGTGGAAGTCCACTCGCAGGCGCCCAGAAAGGCAAACAGATTCAAATGGTGGGGTGCATGTTTATGTAACAATGGGTCAAGAGGATCTAAAGGCATTGAAATTTTTTTATTATTAGTATGTGCTTGTTAAAGTGGTTAAATTGCAGTTGGAGTTTTGGCACTGCTTGTAGGTGCCGCTGGACAATTTCATTGCATTCTAGTTCATTAGACGCAATTAAAAGAAATTTTACCACATTTTACTTTCTAATATGCATCTTTTATTTTTTGGATAGAATGCTGCACTTAAATTTCATTGAGCACATTAAGAGATAAATAAATAGTTGGTCGTATCTATTCTAAAGACGCTTCATCTAAGCGCAGTATTTTAAATGTTCCGCTTTGCTTAAAGCGAAATGAGTGCATTCACGGATCTCTTGGAACCATTTGCCTCATATGAATTTTAAGACAGGATTTACTGTGGTTAGGTGTCTTGACGGGACGTCTGTTGTGTTTTACGAAAGTCTACACTTGATAGCGCTACTGGCATGCGGAAGTAGGGGAGTGTCTTGAGGAAAATGAAATGTGATTGCATGATAGAGAAGCACCGATGGCTTCCTTATCTGTCGCCTTTCGAATTGCACTGACTTTACTTGAACGAACTCATCACTAGTGCTCCCTTCTGTACATCAGTCTTTGCTAAGAGAGCAAACGATGCAAACAATCGCCGTCTGTGCCCGCAAACCTAATTTGGCATTGTTGTTTTTAAGGCCATAGAATATAGAGGTGTGCACCTTACAGGGTGGCATTTCGAAAATTTCCTCCCTTATTAAAGTGGCTGCATAACCTTTGGCGACACTAATACAGCCTCTAGGTGGCGATCCTTTGAGTGACAATGACAGCGAACAAAATAATAGTATCTATATTCTTTCAAATTTCTGCTAACACCTCTGTCTGCCACAGCTGACATTTGTTGCATCGCAAAGCGCTGTCCTTTATCCCAAAGGAGCTGCTGGACGATGCAGAAGGGGACTCAATGCTTATGCTGCAACATCATCCTCTTCTGCTAAACCAACTAGCAATTAACAAACAGGCCAGTGATTGTATTGGGCGCTACTTAACCCGTAGCATTGGAGGCACTTCTAGTTCCCGTGGTCGGAGTGAAATTTAGGTTACATCATTGACGAAATCCTGACATTAATCTTTAATGTGGATTACCCTCATTATAATTACTAAAATGGTCAAGCACGGGAAGTCTACACAGATGTTCAATCCATTTACTTGTACCTGATACTAGTCGATCTACTGAAACTAGTTATATAAATGTACCATGATTTTTACGAGCATTGAGGAGTAACAAAAAGGAGATTAACGATGCACTGCTTCAACGGCTGCATTAGAATGTGTTTATTTGATGCGTCATAATGCAAATGCAATGTACATATTGAAGTCACAATCTTACTACTAAAATTTCCGCTGTACCACATCGACTAAAGTTGTTTGACTCCTGCTTTAAAAGTCAAACTCGTCTGGGTCTTAAATTGCTACGGCGCATCCAAAGTAAGGCTGGAAGTCGTTGGCTCTATCCCACTCAGGTCCTGTAGCAACGGCCCAAAAAGGTTGCATCGTTTCATTTTGTCTAGAAGTTTTTGTTGTCTCTGAGAAAACTTTTGGTCTGCGTTGACGAGATAAAGCAGAGGGCTTAAAAGTGATATTCGAATCGAGGGAGAGGGGCTAAAGGAA